AGACATTAAACATCTAATCCTACTAACCTAACGATCAGTGATCAGAAAACGTGCGAATAAAGTCTAACAATAACGAACAAGATATAATATATGAAAGAATAACACAAATAAAAAAAATATCCTTTATCCGTCAATCCACTCCCACTCTGCTTCTAATTGTTCAATATGAAATTTTATATCCCTGATATTCCTGTTTAGCCTGTTGATCATGTTCACAATTATTATTGTTAAAACGTTTACGTTTCTTCGACGACATTTCAATATTTTATAGTAACCTCTTAATGACTTCTTCGATCTTTCGAATGGAACATGGTTGGTACCAGCATGTGTGTCACCATCGACTTTTTTTTCACTATAGGTACTGTCTTCTTCATACATCCGAGAATTTTTTACGTCAACGTCATTGGTTAAATCATTTATTCGATTCGTTAGCAGCGTGCAAACTTGTTTCAATTTAGGTAACACATGAAACATAAAATCTTGTCGAAAATATCCAATAAAACGATGCAATTCTTTAAAAATTTGATATAATTCTGATTTCATAAACTCTACATCCATCCTGTGTCTCTGTTTTTTTGCCTGTTCGCTAGCATGCCTAAATCTTTTGAACCTTTGTCCTAGTATTGTTCGTCTCGGGTAATCGCTACGCTGTTTTAGCGAATTCTTTCGTTGAATTAGTCGTCGCCTCCATGTTTTACGAACCTTGACCCACATTTCACCGTTTTTATTTACTCCTAACTCTCCATTTTGTTGATTGTTTTCCTGTAATCCATCTATTACTCGTTCGTTCCCAGGAAAAAATTGCTTACCATGTAATCGTGACAAAACGCTGCCAAATCTGAGATAGGACCTCATAAATTCGCTACACATATTATCGAAGGTACTTTCAAATTCTGACATAAACGTTGTCAGATCAAACGTTTTCGGGCATGCACTTATACGCTTCTTTGAAACCATGTTCATGACCATATAAAGTAATTTTATCGATACATCTTTTTCGCTAAGCGAAGGATCGCTAATGTCTTCGAGATAATATACCTCTTCTGCAAAATCTTCCATAAAATCTAGCAAGAGCTCTATGTAATGTAAAATTTTAACCGAAAGCATATCATTGTCGTACACCATTACTTTTCCGGGACTAGGTATGAAATTGCTATTGTTGTTACCGAATTGCTGTAGAGGGGGACTAAACCGTGTAGTTTGCTTCTGCAGTTTCTTTTCACGTGAATTTGCAGTTAAATATGACCTAAACCTTTTTTTAAGCTGACAGACTTGAAATTTGATAGACGGGAGATCAATAATAATAATATCTTCCCACATTTCCTCTGAACTCGTTGTCTCATTGCGTTCCGAGCCATCTGAACCTATTCTCGTAGGTAATTTATTGTATCCTGATTTTCCTTTTCTGTCTGTTTGCAAATGTTCACTTGGAGTGTAGCTATTTCTATAAGCAGATTGTACGTTATGTTTTGCCATTTCTCTTTTCCACGTGGTAACCAGCGTTATTTTGTTCTCTTCAATTTCACGTATGCTTTTTCGTCTAGATCTAAGATAACTCTCCCTTGGTTCATCTTTATCTATGGCCTGATTATAATGTAGGGGATTTGTTTCAACAGTACTGCTTTCATATGTTGGAAAACTATGCACAGATGCTTTTCTCGTCCTCAGTTGATGAATACTATTGTGTGGTAAACTTGGATCTTTTCTTTGCAAAGCACATCTTACATGTGAATCGATGTTTGTATGGCATTGAGAACTTGGAAAGTGTTTTTTTCTTGCGATTTCGTTCTGATCATGTTCGGAACTTATACCGTTTCTCCTTGCACAACTTTCTGATCGTAACAGTTCAAAACAATTATTGTCTGTGTCTTCATTTTTGTTGGTGTTGATAGGATAAATACCCTTTGACACATGCTGCTTATTCGCTAATATCCCGATGTTTTCTTTTCTTGTTTCTTCTTCGTCTTCAAAACACGTGCAGTGCACGATACAACAGAGATAAAGCAGACATATGATTCGTTTCATCAAAATTTTTAGCATTTTTGGACTTGTCCGGTTCACAAGATCACTGAATTTTTAAATACTAAGAAAATCGTAAAATACCATAAGAAGAAAGACACACTTACATGAGCAGATATGAATCAGTAATTTATAATTATACTACACCGAATTACAACTTGCGATTGCACCAATCTCAAAAGTTCTTCAGCCCTTCTGCTTATCCAGCTAATTGTCACCAATTTATGACAAATCCATTCATTGTTTCATTCAATTACATCTTTTGGTTCCTTTTTACGTAGAAGTGCTTGCAATAAAAATGTTTTTGGATTGTCTCAAAGAGGAAAATTTGTCTGGATTTTTAAAATTTCTTTTGGTTAGAGTTCCGCAGTATGGCGTATTTTTTCAAATGAAGACACTTTTATCCATTAATGTCGATTTTTGAACTACCACTCGGTAATTACTGCAGACATTAGCTTGTAAATTGCATATTTGAGAGACACTCATCCCGAAATAGAATACTTAAATTACGTGATGCATAAAATAGCGTATTAAATCGGTTCCAAAGATGGCGTATTGCTAGTTTGAAATATTTTTTTTAATAGAAAGCACCTATTTGCTCAAAAATATAGTTCATTTACTTATTTTCGTGAGGATAACGAACACTACGATTTAACCCTAACGATGTGCAATTATACATCAATATAACACGAATATGATGGCATGCGAGTTTAACATGCCATTACCACCTTGTTCTATATAGTGATTAGTTATACATCCTTTATTACATCAGAACAGTATAAATAGAACTAGATGTTATTAAAAGTTATCGTTTAATCCGATCAACAGCAATCATGTGATGTATAACAGAGAATCATAGCTGCTGAAGAAAAAAACTGGCAGATTACATTTTGTGCCTGTATCAATCTGTTCAAATATTTCCTTGTATGGTAAGAATTCCAAAATTTATTAATTTTAATAAAATTTTAGCAAGTATTACCATACCAATTTTATCTATAAAACATCAAAAGATTATATTGCCAGCTAAATAGTATTTCCTTCTTCTAATATGATTTGCTACGTTTTTCTGGCTATTTTCACTTGTTTAAGCCTTTCAATAGGGATTAAAAATAATTTTCACATAATAATCATGTACTCTTTTTGTTGTCTGCGGAGAATATTCAAGTGTATCTTAGATATAAAGAATATAACAACTATTTTCGGCTTTTTGTTGAGTGCAAAAATGTAAAACAAAAATTTTTTATTTTTTTCCAAAATTGACTCCACAGTTTTTAACTATCTTTTCGTTATATTTGCTGTTGGTATAAAGAGGCATTAACAAATCAAATAAATTTTGCACGTATATCGAGCCTTTAGTGTTATGTGTCCATTTTCCCGATTTATCGTTACAAAACAATCATATGTACTGCAAGCAATCTTTTTACTGAATTATTCTGCAAACGATCTCAAGTTAATGCCTCGTGGCACAAAAATACGAGGTGCACGAACTGATAGTTATAGCCTTTAACTTGTTGTAACATGCATTTGCGTGCTTTACGTTCCTTTGTTGATCTTTTCCTGAGCAATTGCCATAGTTTCCGATTTGCCTGTCACGTAGCACTTGATAATTACTGAGCCTGATCGACATAGAAATGGAACGATGATTCCCGTCACGTGGCGCTTGGTGGGCACCATTCTTGATCGGCACAAAAACAAAAGCCATAAGAGAAGGATCATCTCTCTATATCTTGCGAGTAGGTCCTGTGCTTACAGAAAAACAATCACTTAATTCGAAATTTCAGCGCTATTTTCCCAGTATACACCATAAATATGCTACTCGCTGTATGACACATTAGATCAAAATAAATTTTTCCCAATAGAGACAAGCGATCTGCAATGCTATAATTTATCCAATTATTATCATATAAAGCATTTGCTTCTTAACTTATTTACTACCACGTTTCCTGCTTATACTCCTAAATGACAAATTTTTCTCTGCCTGTTCCACCTACACGAGTGCTACGGAGCATACAACTTTGCATTAATCTTCCACATCAGCAATTGATATCAACAATCCCCTATGCATCCCCTTTACACGCATCGCTTCCAATGTAAGCGGTTCTATCACTGCAAAGTCCAACAAAATTAATTTTCTTAAAGGGCGGACCAATTATTTTTTACTTCATACAAAAATAAAAAAGCATCCCTTTGTCACTGTATTGTAAATGGAGGTTCTTCGCAGAGTACGTGAGAGTAATCGTCAGATTAACACACTCAGAGAATATGTAAAAAAGTTGAAGTACTTAAACAGCCTAAAGGAAAACAGTGTATTGCCCGAGGAGGAAGAAATATCTCTGTTCGCACAGATACAGGCACTCAACGACCTGTTCAAGAATCTGAGTGACCAGGTGAAGGAGTTCTTAAAAAAGGTGTATATGTTTCTGGAGCAGAGTGATGACAAGGATAGTTCCACGTATAATGCGGTGAAAGAGCAGTGGACCACCCTTACACACAATCTTACACAAGTGGTGAGTGATTTCAGATACGTGCAGGTCGAGCACAATAACAAGGAGAGGGAGATGCTAAGAGACCAATACCTGATTGCGAGGCCGGATGCATCAGATAAAGAGCTGAATGAGCTCATGACAGCGGACAATGCAGCCGATGTGCTGAGGAACGCGTTTATGAGTGATAATACCCAAGACTTGGAGTACCGACAGGCACAAAAGCGGCTGGAAGACATAAAAGTAATTGTGGATTACATCGATCAGCTGTGCCAGCTGCTCAGGGACATCGATCAGATGGTTGCTGGGCAGGCTGATTTTGTAGATAGAATCGAAATTGATGTGGTAACATCGAGAGAAAATACGCAAAGCATGAACGAAAACCTGAGGAAGACGCTCAAAAGCACACGGAGATGGAAGATGGTGAAGAGAATCTTATTTTTAGTCATAGGCATTGTGTTGGTCATCATAATTGTTTACGTGTTCAACTCTGTGATCAAGCCCATATTCTTCAGCAAAAGCAAGTAGGTGGAGATTGGACACAGAGTTGTAAGGCGACCACGAAATGGACAAGGCTGTCAAACGATCGAATAGTTGCTTTTACGCGTGCTGAGTAGCAAAACAGAAAACATAACATGCTTGGTCAGTATTTTTGTACTGCACTTGATGAGTTGTATCCGTAAAATATCTGTACGACTTTTAGATAGCTCCACGATCTCTTTGTATATTGCTCAATGGTTACCATCTGGACTGTTCGTTCATGGCTTTGCTACCGGTTGCATCGTTTAACCGACTTTGTTTATCTCCGCTCGTAGCACCTAGCTGTAATTTTTGAACTAGGAACCTTTTCAGCGTCTTTTTGAAGTCGAGCTGGAGAAGTAAATAAGTACATTATTTACTTTTTTGCATTTATGGACAGCACGGCATGGAATATGTTTCACTTTTCAATACAATTTTTTTACTATGTTTTCATTAATTTACTACGTTGCATCCCATGATTGAATCAACAGTTTGGTGTATCTGCACAGTTTTATCCTATTGGCACTGAAGAGATAGCTTGCTTGTAGGATGGCTGATACTTGTCGGGAGAATTATATCGAAACAGCGCACTGTTCTAGAACATGCAATGCCTGTCAAAGTCAACATATCAACAGCTTTTATCACGATGGATGTTTCCTACCTGTGGAAATACTGTTTGATCGGCTTATCCAGCTGTTGAAGTATTTAATGATTCCAGTAACTACCAGCCGCGCTGCAGCGCAGCTCCTCATTGTTTACAAACTAAACGAATGTGTTGTTCATATTTAGTTCATAACATACCTTCTAACCAATCCTACCCAGCAATATCTCCGCACTTTGCCATTATTACCAAATAAAATCCGTTGAGAATAAGCATTTGTGCCATTCATCCGAGCGAATTAACCCAGATTAAACAAAAAGTATTTATTGCATTCTCATTAATTGCTCAATTAAATTTACTTAGCATACTTCTACGGGTGCATAGAATAAGCCGTTTCTTGATCCGGTACATTATTGAAAAGTTACAACAGTTACTATTAAATTAAAATTTGCCAATCAACTGCCATTACAAAGATGCAGTGCGAAATGAGGGGCCTATATAAACAAAAATGCTCATTTTACTGTTGCTTGAGAAACGCTTATTAAAGGATAGTAATTCACCATTTTTAGGGTTGTATACCACCTCACACATATTTTACTTATCGGTGTTATACAGAAAGGATGCGCTATCTAACCGTGACATGGAAGGTAGCATTCGTATTTTTAGTGTTTACTTTTATCGTATGAGGAGAAGTTTTTTGCCTGTATGACGCTTACCTTTTATGCCACGTTGAGATAATCCTTTGATCGGATGCTGTGAGATGTACGTTCATTTTTATTACCAAAATCTGTTCTTTAGACTAGCTATGCGTGATACACCACTTTACGTACCATCGTACTTTTTTGTCTCTCTTGCCGTGATCACAGGACATGAAAATGCGCATATCGAAACATTAAATAAGTAGACCGCCATGCCGTATGCTCATTCTTCCTGCCAATTCTTTACGTACCTTTCTCATCGTGTTTGGTGTTTTTTGTGGGAATGCCCCACTGGTAGAACATTTTCAGCACATCCCTTACATCATCCTATCTAAGATTATCTTAAACTTTCTCAACATCTCTTGTATAATTTCTACCGTGTTCTTCTACGTTGATAATCCACGGTAATTTTCAGGATTAGGCATGGCACGTACGTCGTCTTATGAGGAGGAACACGATGCGTGATGATTCCATACTAATCACACACTGTGTTCCTTCTCAACTTACAGTCCCGTGTACACCGCTCTGAGCCATCTATCCACACACTGTGTTCCTTCTCAACTTACAGTCCCGTGTACACCGCTCTGAGCCATCTATCCACACACTGTGTTCCTTCTCAACTTACAGTCCCGTGTACACCGCTCTGAGCCATATATCAATCCACTATCGCACTCCTCTCCCTCATCCACAACTCCATTACCGCATTTCATCCCATCATCAAAGCATCTTCCATGCTTCTCCACATACTCTAACACCTCTCTCCTTGTTCTATTGCTTATTCCTTCCCATTTCTCACCGCTTATCTCCGCCATCAATCCTTTCTCATGACCGGCACTCATACTGTGCAATATTTCGTGTGCCAGTATTTTTGGCATGTTCGTCCGCGCGAAAGCCGTGTTAAAAACAACCGAGTAGTTGTTCGAAAGTGAACAGGCACCGGAACGAAATGTAAGAGCATCTATGGTTTGTGAAGTTGTGCTGTCTGTCAGAAGTATGAATAGGTTGGCACCGTTCAGATTGGTGTTACGGACATCGTTCTTTAGACCATCGAATTTATCAGCAAACTTTGATAAAAAACTGTAAGCATGCGCATTATCCGTATTTGGCATATTATCCTCTTTTCCTGTGTCATGCGTCTCACAATTTTCATTGCATCCTGGTCCCGTCTTAAAAGCGCTCTTCACACTCTCAGAAGCACTGTACATCTCATAAGAACACAAATTCTTCATACTGTCCCTGCCCGTGCCCATAAAACTGAGAGGTTCAGAAACATTCAAAACATCAACGAGCACCAACTCGATTCCCAATCCTAACCTATCAAAGTACCTTTTCGTCTCCAAGAATATTTTACGTGTTTCTTCTTCAATGTTTCTTATCGTGTTTGTTCTTTCATAATCGTTTACAAATACAATTTTAAAATACTTCGCACTGCTCCTCAGAGAATCACTTGGTGCGAACTGTTCAGCAGCTCTGTGCTTAGAGGAGTGACCTGTCAACGAATTGTTCGGTGATAACCCATCAAATACACCGTTCTGTGCTTCACCGGTAAATACACTCTCAGCTCCATATTTTTGTTTTGTTCCAGTGCTGTTATCCTCTCTGCACTCAATATCATTTTCGTTCATCGTGTACCGTCCATTCTCGTATCCAATCTCGTATCTCACACCTCTGCTCACCACCACCCCGTAGAAGTGCTCACCGGCCACCATATATCCGTACGACTGCTTGTCACCCACCAACCGGGCAGAGTACACCGACTTGCTCCGCTTCACCCTCACATCAGTGCTGTACGAATGGTCCACAAGTAGAACAGTCAAAGGCTCTGCTCCGCGATAAAGGGTTACGTAAAGAACGCGCTCACCCGTAATTTTTGATGTTTCACTGGATGGGTGAGTGTGCGGGGTGCGCTGCAGCACAGCACACATTAGCAGAACGATGAGCAGCATGTGTTTGTTTTTGTTTGGATCGTAAACTGACAAATTTATCAGCGGTAAAAGCAAAACTGCACAAACTGTTCAACCACAGCTTTCCGTACGTTGTGTTCAATCCCCATTATCAGCTTGGTACGAGCACCTCAACAGGATAAAAAATAAATTTGCTGAAGGGATGCACTTCGTTTACTGCTGGCCTGAGATGGTAATTACAAGGGAATCACCATTGAAGAGGATAAGCTCAATGGTATAAAATATTGACACATGCTATGCGTATCATGACCCGTCTGTAAGCACTTGCTGTCTACGATTGTTTATTTTATAGTTTGAATGCCAAGTGTTTTTCTACCAAAAACACGTTAATCCACGTTTGAATTTCCTCCTTTTTGTGCCACATGTCAGTGTGTCGCAAACAGCAAATCCTGTTTTCAGGCAGTCACCCATCAACGCGCCAAGATCGACAAATTTTCCAAATAATAGTACATTTAGCCTCTTCTACTGTAGCAGGTTCGTTTCTTGTATGGAATACACGGTGCTGTAAGCAATAAAAGCTCTGATCAATCGTATTCTTCTATTCTATCCTATCATTTTTTGTCTTAATCCTTCTGCTGTTACGTCGTATACGTTCTTTTATTCTATCCTATCATTTTTTACACAGCCCTATCATTCTTTACCCCTCTCCTCTCTTATTTCAACCATATCATCCCATATTTCCATCCCAATCTTTAAATCATCTTCACTTAACAGCACACTACCCCGTCCCATCTATCACACTTCGTTTCATTCGTTGTTTCACAAAAAGGGGAATTCCCGATCAACTTTAAAAAGTTTTTTCACCCTCAGCACCGTAAAATGGTACAAGGAGAGATCAACGAGGCTGCGCAGAAGGACAGCTCAAGCTACGTAGACACATTCAAGGACGTGGTTAAAAGCGCCGAAGATGTCCGTACATTTGTAGACATCAGCAACATGGGCATGCCGCCCACCAACAAGAATGACTTGAAAAGACGCGTGTCCGCTAATTTTGACCGCTTTAAAGGCAACTACCTCATAATATCGTTCGTGTTCATCGCTATATTCCTCATCAGACAGCTTTCTGCACTGTTTGTGCTTGTGCTGTGGGCCGGTTACTTCTTTGCCGTGGACCACTTCGGCGAGAAGTTCACAGTTGGTAATTACGAGCTCAAGAACGAGTACGTTATGTACTTTTGCATTGTTCTTACTGTTGTGTACCTCATCGTGTTTAATACGATTATTGTGTCCTTGATGGTCACACTGTCACTGTACATGGTGCTGGTTATTGCACACACGCTATGCTACAAGGATGAGCCGTCGCTTGAGGATATTTAGGCGGGTCTTTTGGTGTAGAAAATAAAGGAACTTTAAATAAAAGGGGCGTAGAACGGCATTCGTTCTTGTCTTTGGCACTCCACGTGGATTACGTGTACCACTTTACGTGTCGGTGAGTTTGCTTTATTTACGGGGCTTTCTCTTGGCTTATCACAGGGAGTGCTTCTTCATGTTATTTCGTTTTTTGGTTGGTTGTTCTATTTAGTGAATTGGGTGGTTCATGTCCGATGATTTGCATACCTCCTCTGATTTGTATACCTCCTCTGATTTGTATACCTCCTCTGATTTGCATACCTCCACTGATTCGTATGCTTCCACTGATTTGTCTGTTCATTTCCCAATCTTCCTCCGCAGTCATTCTAATTAAAACCCCTCTATCAACACGCAACGTGCTGTTCAACAACACTCCTGCTCATCGATACACCTCATCTAAAAACCTACACACGTTATCATTCTCAAAAATGTACACGTCCTTTCTGCACTTATTTAAGATTGGGACCATTTCCAAGCAAAAGCAGCCTTTGATCACGATGAGATCGAACATATCGGGATCGATGAGCGTGTTCAATTTCCTTGGAGCAAGTGATTGCACCGTCTTGCCTACAACACCACCTGAAGGTGCATCCCCATCGTTGCTAACGATTAGAATACGTCCATGTGCCTTCTCTAGAAACCTTTCCATCTCCTCGTTCATCAGCATAACACGTTCTCGCTTGTAGAAGAGCCTGAAAATGACGAGTTGATAACTAAACACGGTGTTGTACGCCTGTCCCCTTCTTTTCTTCGGAATTATTGTCTGCGAACGGCCTGTCCGTTCCGACAGGAGAATAATTCGTGCATTTCTGAGCACACGTGCAAAGTAAAGCACGGCCTTGTTGTGCAGCACTGACGCGTACGTGCACTGTGCACCGCTGGCCGTACACTGCTCGTACAGAAAGAGAAAAATGCTTTCGTCTGCATTTCCTTCGATCTTTAAAATGGAGCATTCTCGCTCATTTACGATTATCTCCTCAATATGTGCATGTGCTGCATGTGCATCTCCGCTCTTTTCCTCGATACGCATTCTCAAGCGCACCACCTGCTCGCAAAGCGCGTACTTCTCCGTGAGCATCGCAAGCTGCTCGAGCGCGCCCATCAATCTGCCCACGTTTTTGAGAATGAAAGACAGATCGGACACCAGCGAGAAAATCGTAATGCTCATGTGCATAAGATGGGCTGCTGTGAGGAAGAGTAGTTTTTCACATGGCTTTATGTCTACGACAACACTCACCCCAATCGTGCTGAGCATGAATTGCTGCTCGTTCTGTCTCACGAGGACATCTCCGAATTCCTTGGAGCTAAAAATCGTGTTCAGGATTTTTGTTTGCTGCGATGACAACATCGGGCTGACAAATGCGTTGAGCTTTGACTTGAAGAGCAGCAGATCATTGTTTGTTTTGGAACTCTCTGTGCTCATCGCAGCGAAACGCTCTGAAACGATGCTCAGGCTGTTCTCGACGTGCGTATCTCCTTGTTGTTGTGTGGAAGGAACCGCACATGCTGTCTCAGCATTTTTCTGGCTCTTTTTGGAATAGCTGGTCATTTCCTGTGCATGCACGGTATGCATCTCTTTGATGGCCGCATGATTATTCCTTTCTTCGTTGTTCGTGCGATTGTCACTTTCACCACTTCCATCGTTTCCATCACTTCCACCATTTTCATCACTTCCACCATTTTCATCACTTTCACCACTTTCATCACCTCCTTCGCCTGTATCGTGCACCTCGTCCCTACAGAACTGCACAAAAACAACCAAAGTACTAAAATCAAGGTAGTAATACGCAGCTACTCTTCCTTCCCACGTACACGCCAGCCCATTATCACTCCTTTCCACCATCCCACACTCCTCTAGCTTACGCACTGCCAGCTCTACAAAACCATCCACCTCCCTCTCATCCTCCATCCCGTAGTACCGTGCATTCCTCCTCACACGCACCGCCATGTACGTCCTATTAAACCATTCTTTGCTCTCGTGCAGATCTTTGATCGTAAGACGAGCGATCTCTGCGTTCAGAATGTTCACCAGGTTATGCAACAGCGTGCTCTCGAGCGGCATTTTATTCTTCAGGCGTGTTACGTAGAGCTGCAGGTTGTTGGTGATTATGAACGCCCTTGCCACCGTGTCCTCCTTGGTGTAGTCTATGCGACCCGCTCGGCCCATAATCTGCAGAATGTCGCTGATGCTCACATTTCTCGTCATTCCATCGCTATAGTACTCTGTTCCTCTGATGAAAACGTTCTCTGCGGGCAGATTCACCCCCCATGCCAATGTCTTAGTGCACACCACGTATTTAAGCTCCCTCCTTCTGAACAGGTCTTCAACACGCAATCGCTGGTGCCGTGGCAGTCCAGCATTGTGCACCCCCACACCGTTACTGAGCAGATACGCGAACGATGCCGGCCTGGTGTATTCCTCGTTTCTTATGAGGCGCTTGACAAGAAAAGTGGCCGTTTTGAAGCACTCATGCCGGCTGTTCACGAAAATCAGCGACTGGTTTTTGCACAGCATGAGTTTTTCCACAAGAATTTCATCAAAATTGCTCACCGTTACGATGTTTGATCGTTTGTTCTTCGGGTTAGCGCGCATACCGCTCTTTCCAGCACCTTTACCCATTTCATTGCGCATGTCGCCAAGGCACTGTGCTCCGTTCGACTTTGTCTTTCCCACGATTCTTTCACTCACCGGCTCCGTACCGTGCCTTTCAGTGTGTATGCCCTGTCTTACACCCTCACTGATCAATTCATCGTGTACCCGCGCATACCCTGCTCGTCTGCTCTTTAGCTCCTCTTCGCTCATTCTTATCTCCCCCTTCGCTCCAATAACACAGCACTCAACCGCAACAGCACGTCTCTCGTCCCCGTAGCAGAACACCACTCCTTTCAAAAATTCGCCGACATCAAAAACGTTGGGCACGGTCGCGCTCAACCCAACGATCCTCGTTTTTCCAATAAAACGTGCCACAAGTGCCTCGATAACACTTCCACGCTCCTCCTCAAGCAGGTGTATCTCATCGATGACGAGTAGATCGAATCGAAAATTGAACGAGAGCTTGCGCGTGGACGCGTCTAATTTTTCGGGCGTTGTTACAACGATGTGTGTGTTGAGTGATTGGTTGGGCGTATCGCCTGTGTACTCCATCACGTCCATGCATCTCAGACCGTATCTGTTGTTGTGTGCGGGCTTGCCGAATGGGGTGCTACGATAATTGTTGCTGCTACTGTTAATTTTTTTGTCTAGGACTGGCTCGTTCTGAAAGGATTTGTCATGTATTGGTGCTTCTCCGTCGCTGTAATCCAATCCCATCGCTCTGTCAATCTGTCTCCTCAGTTTTGTACATTCTTCGCAGCTAAATTTCTTTCTCAGTTTCCCCACTATTTCAGTTGCAAGTGCCCGCAACGGCACCACGTACACCACCCGTTTTGCTCCCATAATGCACATCATTGCCACGTCTGTCTTTCCCGTGCCTGTAGGTGCCGCCAACAAGAAATTGTTGGTCGATCGTGCTATCGTGTGCACCTCAGTCTGTATGCTATTGAAATTCCTATAAGGAAATATTTTGTACGGATTCATCGCTGTTTTGAGATTCTTTTGAATCGGTTTTGGAGGTATTACCAGCTCAGTGTAGTAATGCGTGCTTTTCTTGGCCATTCTGAGGATCAAACCGCGATTTTCGATGATAAACCGCATTTGATCGACGTATAACGGGCCCAACGTGTCGTAAAGAAGCATTTCAGGATGTTCTGAGTGCGTGAGCGTAAAAAGCATTTTCTTGGTTTCTGAGATCTCCAGATTTAAATCGCCTGCAACCCTTTTCATGATTTTGTCCATAATTTCACCATTTTTATCGCACAGATCCTCAGCTTCACACCCCGAAATGTTTTTCGATTTGCTGTTTCTGCTACTTTTCCCGCCTCTTCTCTCGTGATCACGCCGTTCTTTGTCGGAGCCTATTCTTTCACCTTCGTTGTTTGCACCGTTTTTCGTATGAGCATTCGTTCTCCTCTCATTTCCAGCCCTCCTTCCATCACCATTCGCCATACTCTTGCCGTAATTCCCTCCGCTTCCTTTCTCTAATCCATTGCCTTTACTCCAATTTCTTTCTCTGCGATCCCCTCCTCCACCCGTACCTCTAACATTGCCATCCAATCCTCTGCTCGTTGCACCACCTTTTTCATCCTTAACACGCTCAATTTTGCGGTAATTATCAGCCACACCATTCTTCTGAACATAATCACCTGTTCTCTTTTCATGTTCTTCCTCATTTCCAGCCATAGGGGTGTTTGCTCCATTCTTTAATTTTTGATTCCTTGCTTTCATACGGAGTACGATGACTTGTCAGAAGGATGCGCCAATAAAAACGGTCTTTTTTATGTAACATGTTTGATATGTGATGGCAAACACCAAGGGTGAAACGAAACGTGCCATATTGTTCGCAGAATGGCAAGGTTTGTGGTATGAGGAGCCGATAAGACAGATAAACTCGTTGATCAGCACTATTTTCTAAGGCACCGCTTTAATTTTTCATACCGAATAACTGCAGAAAAGGTGCGTGTTTATAGTCCGCCTTTAATTTTAATGCCTATGTTCGACTATGCACTTCGTGTCAACGCCTCAACACGCAAAGATACCGCCATGACTACCATGTTCAACCGCACTGTTCCTTCTAGTACGTTTCACGGCGTTTCTTCCCTCTGTTTTCATTTTAGAACACGTTCAATCGCTTTTCAGGTTGTGTTTGCCCATGTCCCTGATCGCTTCGTCATTGTGCAGCGTACACTGCTGCACAATTATTCCACTGCAGAACAAATTCTTGAACTTTACCGTATCGCTCATTGTAAATAATTTACCACCCGTTTAAAAACAAATATATTCGCTTTTAGTGAATAAAAGTAAATTTACCGTCTCTTCCACCGTAATACATCCATACCGGTCTTTTCTTATCCAGTAATTCACAGTATGCTAGTGTAGCCAATATATTTAGTATCCTTCCGCTCACCCGGCGCAATATCTGCCCCTGCCAGTCACTCAATTTATCAAACATTTTGTTGTGCACCCCCAATGGAGCATTACGATGTCGTAATACTGGGAACGGGCCTGTCAGAGTGTGTGCTATCAGCCGTTCTGTCGCAATCAGGATACTCCGTTTTGCAGTTGGACTCATCGGACCGGTATGGCACTTCGTTCCAAAACTACAACTATGTTGACCTGTGCACACGGTACAACAAGCCTGGACATTCCGCTCTTGTCCCGTTGAGCAGCAAGTTCAGCATAGATTATACGCCCAAGCTGCTACTTGCTGGCGGTCTGACGCAACGTGTGCTCATAAAGTACGATCTAAGCACACTCGTAAACTTTTTGCTCGTACCAGGATGCTATGTGTATAAGCACCGCCTTTATGAGGTGCCCACTTCTGAAACAAAGTCACTACAGACCGGTTTGATTTCGTTTCTGCAGAAGCCCCGTCTTGTCCGCTTTTTCTACAATGTCCGCAAATACTTCAGGAACGTACCCATAAAGCTGCTAGGCACCATGCGTGAGCAGTACAAGCATTATGGAGTGGATGAGCATAGTGCTCAGGTTATAGGACACGCTATTGCGCTAAATTTGGATGATAATTACCTGGATGAGCGGCCGAGTGTTACTTTTGAGAAGATAAGGCTGTACATCGAGAGTTTGAGGGAGAATGGAGATGAGATAAGTCCGTTTGTGTATCCTTTATATGGAATGAGTGAGGTGTGCCAAGCATTCGTGAGGAAAGCGTCTGTGGCAGGAGCAGTTTATAGATTGAGGACGAGTGTTGAGGAAATTCGTTCTTGTGGAGAGTTTAGTATCTGTATGGGAGAAAGTGATGGAGAGGATACTCGTGGAAGGACAAATCAGGACAATGAGGGTGTAAGTGCCGGTGCAACCAATGATGTGAAGACAGCCACAACGGGCGATTCGACCAAGAGCGGCCATAATGATCAGAAAATGCGTGGCGATCAAAACATTAAAGCCGATGGCGCGAACAAGGGCGGTGAGACGAGCAGTCATGATGGTGAGCAGGAGGATAAATCACGGTTGAACCCTCAGGGTGGTGGCAATGAGGGCGGCAAAGGAGCACATTACAATTTTACGGTGAAAATACGGCCGGAGAATGAAAATACACTTGAAGTGCGCTGCAAGGCTCTCATCTCAGATATTTCGTACACGCCGAACAAACGGCCGACTAACACGAAAATCATACGTGCTACATTAATTGTAGACGGCGTTGTTCCTCTGCTCAAACACGTGCCATCGGCTCAAATACTTTTCTTGTCGAGTGGACTGCACCGGAAAACGGATGTGTTTGCTCTTATCCTAGGACACAGAGAATGCGTGGCACCGAAGGGCTACAAAGTTGTGCTCATAAGCTACGTAAAAGAAGGGGACGATGATAAAACACTGGACAAAATCATACATTTATTCGGAAAGGTTGTGGATCGTTTTGTCAGGGAGGAGGAGGTGATGGTGAACGAGAGCGTGGGTAGGGGATGGTACGTTGTGAGCGACTGTGATGAAAGTATGCATGTGGAGAACGGCATGCATGAAGTTGTGAAGGTGTTAGAAAGAATGAAAAAGGACGGATTTAAGATTGAGTGCTCGTTTTAGAGCGCATATTTTGTAGGTAAAATGAGATGATTGATTTTTTGTGTCTGGTGGCCAGATTTTGTGTTTAGAATCTTGGTGTTTACGTGCCGGGCGAAATATTGTTAAATATTTTGTTATGTCTTCCTGCACTTCACCAACAATTCATTTTGCCCTTAGATACGCATTCAAGGAACTTGACTGTTGGAATCTCTGAAATAATTGAGGAAGAACTTTATGCTGCAAATTAACAAGAAGTAAAATATTAAACATCGCTTCTAATCATATTCAGAAATACTCTCACATGTTTTTTAAGAACTGTATATCCAAAGACTCTCTTTTTGACCCAAAATAATTTTTGAACTCTACAGGGATACTAAAGAAACGAAGCACTGCTTAAGGTTATGAACGAATTTTTATATGCAACTTAATTTAATTTCTTTTTATGATCGAAATTAATACCGTAGTAAAGAATAATAGAATAGGTACACCGGCTTGATAAGATTAGAATTTTAATGAAAGGAACAGTTTGTTGAATCGTAGAAACAACATCACCCTTTTTATGAGAGTACTGATAGCAACAGCTATCACGTACAAAGTGAAACAGCCGAGCACTATGCTGGTAAGCTCAACCAGATTTGTGCAAATTGTTCAGCAATGCACTTTAAAGACGAGGTACACCGTAGACGTGCGTACAAGAGCTGCTGTCACTTCGGCAAGCTGGCCTACATACCACGAGATAGCTATCCAGAGTATCTCAGATCGCTGTTCACCGATACAGCAAGCAGCGATCATAAAAACTTCAAGGCAAACATACGATCGTATAACAGTGTCCTGTCGTTTGCGTCGATGGGAGCAAATGTGGAGCAATTCACACGAGGGGTGTACTTCTTCAAGGTGCATGGTCAGGTCTACCACAACGCATACAACATAAACCCGCTTGAAAACATTAACAGGAGATACTCGCAGTTGTATGTGATTGATACAAACGATGCCACAGATCTGAGATCGAGAAACCCTGCAAATGAGAAGTGTAATAGAGCAACACTACACAATCTTGACAGGACAATAAGAGAAGTCAATCCTTATGCAGAATCTTGCTGAGGTTGAGAGAAGTGCAGTGCGTGAAGGAAACATGTTGATGGTAAATGTGATGTCTAACGAGAACATTCATCGTGACATTAACAGGTACAATGTTCCTACAACGGGCGAGATCACGATGATATTCAGCGACAAAAACGGCGAGCATTCATACTCAAGAGAAGACAGTTTCCGGTTCTTCTTTCGTTTGCGATGAGAATCGACAAGTCACAGGGTCAGTTATTTGACAAGGTAGGTGTTTATCTGCACAGCTCTGTCTTTATGCATGGTCAGTTGTACGTAGCTTTGTCGAGAGTGCGCTATGCAGACGGTCTAAGGGTGTATGTTGCTGACAATGGAGATCAAGGAAAGCATGAGAATGGTAAAATATACACTAGAAATGTTGTATACAATGAGCTACTAGAATGAAAGTGATTTATTGATTTGCAACTATAAAACAGTTAGTAGAAAGGAATGACCTGATGTTGCAGTTATATTAAAAAGTTCTGTTTTGGTATACTATCTATTCATGCACTCGTTTTTGAAAAACGGGATAACACAGATGATTTTCTACATAAATTGTAGTGGCAATGTAACGGTATCGTTCTCACTTGCGTAGAGTATAAAATAATTCTAATTTTACCCCTCTTATCAAAATGTCACTCAGAGAAAAATACGATTTTTTCACAAAGGATGAATCACTCACCAAGGATTCGCTCTTCGATCTGTTATCATTATGCAACCGTGTGCCGCCACCTATGGATGGTTTGTCTTCCTTGCCGAGTACATTTGAGGAGTTCGAAAGACTTGCAACGTCGTGTAGAGAAATGAACAACCGGAAGGATCTGCTGAAGCATTTGGTTGCATTTAACAAGGGCAGTGTGTGCATGGAGAAGGAGCAATTCGAGAAATTTCTCTCGATTGGCGAGGAATTCAGTGAGGAACATAAGGAGGAGCTGTACAAGTTTGTTAATGTAAAGGATGATATGATCAACCTGGAAGAATTCGTAGAACAGATCACTGGTGAAGTGGATAATTAAAGATGTGTGATAAGGTACAATGATTTACCGCATATGTTTGTTGCAACCTCGAATTACCAATCCGTTGAGATGCACTTTGTCTGTAAATAATGTTTAGTTACCATCCCAGTTTGGTAAAAAAGTCGAAGCATGCCAATAAAACTAAAAAGGCAAAATCACCACAGCACCTGTTGTATCTTCGGATAAAACCAATCATTGGCTAATGCTATTGATGTTCTGCTCCACATATGAGCTGGCATACATCAAATTATTCCAGATAAGCATTTTTGTCTATTATAAACGTTAACAGGCGCCCCTTCATATCAACAATAAATAGATCATTTTCCTACAACAGCCATTCATCCCCTACCTTACTCATAATAACGACCACTAAATATATTTTAGATTTGAATTACATGCCACGTATGTTTCAGTTATAACATCCCTTTTTACTAATTTTCATGTCCTGTGTTAGTAAAACGCAACCTGGAAGCAGATTTTCTGCTATGCCAAAAGATCATGTGGCAAAGATACAAACACTCCAGCATGAAATCAAAAGATAAAGAATGCAAACGAATCTGATGTTCATTTATAATAGACAGTCCAGCTTAAGCATTTTATCAACTGATCTAGCGCAGACAGTTCATTTAGAAAATGCTTGAATTGCTGTTCGATTCAGCTGTTCTGAGATGCGCTTGGTTTTCAGCAGCACATTATATTTCTTGGTTGAGTATATCAAATACAGCAGGCCTATAAAGATGCGCCTGCCACTGCAGGATTAATGTTCTAAGCGCAGCAAGAAGTAGAAAAAAAGAGAATGATAGTTCCGATGAAAAATAACTTTCTTGTGAATAATTAGTTATGTTCCGATCAATAAACAGGCGTTGTGAAGCTGGTCAATACAAATAGATTTACTTACTATCCTGTTAACTTTTGATCACCAGACCGCCATTATGGCGGGTAAGGCCTACAAATCTTGCACGGTAGACATGCATATTTAATGCCATATTGCTCGTTATAATCCTACAAGGTCGTTTATTTATTTTTAGATAAATGACCACCAAGTTATTCACCAGTTCTGCTCCATTTGATAAAATTTATGCCATGTTACACCATGCACAAATAATATATTTTGTATGCCAGCAGTCTGCATTGCGTATGGCAGGTGCCCGGTATTGTTGAATGAAAATGATTTGGTTATGCACCGCAATGTGCGAATATCTTCTTCACGGCACAGCATTGTTAATTACTTCATGCATATAGTGATATAGCACGAGCGCATAATTTTATGCTCATGCATTCATACTTTTAGTTAATTTTGATTCAAAAATCGTGCATTCCTCTTGCATCCCTGCCCACGCCCCTTCTTCTCAGCTCACCGTTCCACCCTTCTAAAATATGCCGTCGCACAAAAAAGCGCACCTCCAGAAATTAAAACATATCCAGAAGAAGAACGCAGCCGAACAGCAGCAGTACTCACGGCCCACCGGTCCATACAAACCACTGCTCATCCTTACGCCCTCGTCTCTTTGCAGCGGTACCACGTATCAGTGCAAAACACGCTACAAAGTAATGAATGCGCATGATTATTCCCCGCATGTTGTGCGCATGCTCTCCAAGGTATGCGTGACCGTAAGTTTTGATAGCAACGTAAGTGCTGATATAATGTGCTATGAGGGAGCAAGGCATGCAAGACGGGAGAAGGTGAGAGGAACATGGTGCCACATAGACGAGCTGTTTAAGTGCGCACGGTTTGTGAAAAGACGGTCTGAGGAGGTACCAGTGATTGTTGTGGATGAAGGAAAGGACGATGTGTACGAGGGATTGATTGATTACGAAATGATGAGCGATGAGGTTGTGGTTAACGGGATGAAGAGGTGCAAGGTGCTTGGTTTTGAGTATGTGGATGAAGTGGAAGGCTGTAATGAGCATTGCATGGGTTGTAACAGCATTGGTTACAGTGCATCGGGTATGAGCTGCGGGACTGGTGCTGATATGCCGACCTACAACAGTTTAATTCAGCAGATCGGGTCAAGCAGCTCAGCTGGACCAGCTGCTGAGGACACACCGACCCACAACAGTTTAATTCAGCAGATCGGGTCAAGCAGCACTCTTGCAACTGAGGATAGGCAGGCAGATAATACGATGCATGCCGTCGCTATGGAAGAGTGTTCGAACGATAATCCTCAGCCATCCTTCGTTACGCCCCTTATGCATTCACTCAAACACTACAAAGGAATAAAAGACCTGAAAACGTGCACAATAAGCACCGGGTATTCGTTCAAGGTGCCAAAGACTGGAAAATTGAAGAGGTGTGAAAGACTCGTAAGAATACGGTTGAGTGAACGTTTCGATGGCGGTGTGTTCTTCATTAGCAATGTTGTTGTCAAAGATGCGTTTTGCATCCTCAATGTACGGTTCGGTGAGCGAATGGACGAAGGGCTGGTGGATGATAGAGAGAATTGCGGTGGGGATGGTAAAAATAGAGCGATTCCTAACAGAAACGAGGACAGAGAAGATGGCTGTGTTAGCGGTAGCATCGATGGGGTGGATACGCAATCTGCTAGATGCGCTGATGTAGATTATACGGAGAGTGACAGCACAACAAGCCATGCAATTGCTCTTCAGGGGTATTCACTTGAGTACGGAATGTTCTTCCACAGTGTTACGCCGTACTTTACCGCAAACACCTCCTCATCCGTGTTCAAACTGCAGGATAAATCGCTTAAATCTGGTGTGGTGTCCTTCAAGGTGCCATACACACCAACAAACACCCCGCTCAGGCTTTTCCACAACCAGAACCTTGTTCTTTCCTCGAACACGTACGATCACAAAGAGCGCGTTATACTGGAAGAGCGTGTGATAACCGGCAAGCCTTACAAAGTGTACGGCACGTGGTGCAAAATCAAGAACATGTTTGGCTGCCGGGACGATGTGCTCTTCTTTAGATGCGTGAAGTTGGTTGGACGGGGCGGTAACGTGGGATGGATAAGGAGCAGTGTGGGGGTGAAAGGCGTGTTCAAGGCCGAGTTTGAAAGGCCTGTGAAACAAAGCGAGGTGATCAAAATGTGCGTTTATAGATTGGTTGAGATTGTGTGAGGTATCGTGCTGTTTTGGTCGTGGTGTGAATGGGAAGTGGGGTGTCTTACTTTGATAAAGGTTTAATTTTGAAATGCGTATTGGTGCGGTGTTGTAATTCTGTTTACGCAGCGCTTACGCCCAATGTTCTCTTTACAGCCGTTGATCCATCGATTTGAACGGGGATTCCTCTTTGGTCCGTAATGCTGAACAGGATGTGCTTCTTGAAAGGTAGCATTTGGTGTATGTGCGTATAATGACTGGTACGATATGCTATAAGGGAAGGATCAGCAATCGTTACCACTTATGCTATATGATGAGTAACAGATCGTCCACTGTTCCGAATACTCATACTTTCCCAGCAATGATTTACAACGCTTTAAACACAAGAATATGTTGGATGAGTCCTCTCCGTTACAGGATGGTGTATAACATGACTTGCAGACAATCACAGCTGTTAATGCACCTTGATATTCAAAACGAAAATGCCCATGAACCAAGGGCCTCACGGCTGCCCAAAACTGAATGGAGTCTTGAAAAGATGATCTTGCCAACGCTATCAAAACGCGTGAGCTCAAAACAGAAATAATCCTTAGCATTGAATATAATTTAAGATAATTTGATGCTGTCGTTAAAGATCTTCAGCATTGGTATCTCCTGGTAGAAAACGTGCACATCGGAGTTGTTTGATTTAGCAAATAATGCTTATCTTTTCGCTTCAGAAGATTTAAAATATTTACCTCGAGCACTGCACTCTTTCGAGTTACGCATTGCAATCGCATTTAAAGACCTTGTTCTGCGGTATTGTGAGAGTTTCTCGCTCCAAAAACAATGCTCCTTGAGGCCATAGAGGTGCTCAGCGCTTGTGTGCTGTGAAATTATACTTAGCCCGACTCTCAGACAAAACGGTGCACATTACTAAATTTCTGCATGAATATCCCGTTGATTGGTAAAAACACTTTCATTAAACCACATTTTTACGAATTGGACTGTAAAAATATTTTAATCGATATAAATCTTTGCCTAGGAGCGTATTTTCTGTATGACGAGGTAGATAACGTTCTTGTGGTAAAAAAGTGCGTATGCTTAATTTCAAGCCAGATTTCCTCTCGCACAACTATTTGATGGTTGAAACAATCAGTACGTTGTAACATGAACTGTGCGCTTCACTTTTGAATCGCGTTCTTCATTTTTGGTAATGGGGATTTAGTAGTGGATTACTTCGCAATATTTTCTATTTGGTTAATATGAAGGATGAACCACTGTAAAAGAAGACTGTGCAAACACCTTCATCATCAAAAAAGCGTGTTTTGTTCAGTCAGTCATCTTTTCATGCTCCTTTGCTGCGATGAACTTGTTTGTTGCCGTGATACCTTTTAATTTTGTACGAATATTTTATTGCTCCACCTTTTAATGACAGATAATTAGTCATTTACGTAAAAAAGTATTTTTTAGGACATACCATTGAGTTGCACAGTTTACTTTCGTTTAAGAAGAAAAATATTACGCAACACTATCGAACACGAATTGGCGTATATCTGATCACAGTTGCCACCGAGTCTCAAGATAAGAAATGATAAATTATCGTACAGCTGTGTACGAACTATGGGCACACATTCAACATGGTGGCCTACAAAACGTTATTACCAATTTAGAATTTACAGCAAAATTTGTACGTGTTACTACAGGTATGCTTGCCATATCACATAGTGCTACCTTCGATACTTAGGCCAAATATAGCACAAATCAATCTAATGTCTTTCACGTCACACGTCAATCATTTACCGCATACGAACATCGTCATATACTCTAATATATTTAATATAAAATAAGAACAGACGCTCCTCTTATGCTATCTGCACTGCTCTTCAATTTAAAATTGCTTCACAACTTATTCTTCAACAGCGAGCTGAGAACGGTGGCAGCCAACATCAACAGAGCGTTTTACTTCAACTTGGACGGTTCGATTATACACGGCTACTCCCACAATGAATATGTGAGCGCTTTTCTTGCGATTTCATCCGGTTTGCAAGCACGTTTTGAAAAGTTGGATATCATAGATGACCATGAAATTTACGCAATGTTCCAATCCGTATGTGACAACGCACCAGCGGATTCGTACTATAACCCGCGGTATTTGAAGCAGTTCGCCAATGATGTAAAGCTTTCTATTGAGAAAGAACGCAAGCTGAGGGTGCGTAGTAAACGTTATCAGGCAGCAAGGCTTGTAGGTGGCAAGCTTCGCAGTGTAACGTGTTTTGACAGTGAAAAAGCCGCAAAAATTGTTGTGAACCTGATATTAGAGATAACAAACCATGATTATGATGACTATATGACAATTTTTAGCTATGATTTTCGAAGCAAATGCAAATGTGAATCTGGGAATGATAAGGCGACAGAGACGGTACGCTTGCTGTTCGCAACTTTAAAAGGAAGATATTTTTCGTTAGGTCGCACTGATTCGTGCTGTTGCAGGTTGGCACGTCTTACTCGCACTGCATTGCAAAAACCTACCAAGGAAAGCAGCACAAACAGTAATATGCCCATGCTTAGCCGTATTCGAAGAGCATTACGAGATAAGTTTGGAAAAAAGAACCGCCTGATTGAACCTAACGAATATTGTAAGCCGCAATGCGCCGGTAAAATGAGCAAGTATCTAAAACAGGTTATGTATTTTGCCGTTGATCCTAATTACGAAGCTTTTAGACAGCCAGACAGTCTCATTACAACCCTAAATGAATACGCACATTTTAACCAAAGCCCAAACAACGTAATAATAATTAACATCGACCTGAACGATTTGATAATGCAAGGGCTCATGCAGCTTAATTCCACGAAAAATTTCTCAAGGAATAGTTTTTTGTCCATTGCCTTTTTAAATGATACTTGTCACGGCGAAGCAAGCCTACTATTCCGTAATTTTCTGCTTTTTGTCGAACAGCTGGTCAATTATCACCGGCAAAGCAACTATTTTATCTTAGTTTTGAAAGAGTTTTGTGCACCGGAGCAGATCAACTCGTCTAATGCAATTGGCAAATACCACACTGCCAGTCAGCTCAAAGACATTTATAAATCACTGAAACAAAAGATCAAGGCCCTGTGCAACGCAAAGCCAAAGATGAGCAATGTGCTGTTCTTCAATTACAAAGATTTTAACTATGAACAAGCATTGAGCCAGATTTGTAGAAGTAGCAGATTTTTTGTAAAGAACAAGTGTGGCGATACCTGTATTTGTGACTGAATGTTTGTGGGAGGATCACAATCGAAAATTGCAGTTTGAGAATAAACTTGCGTAAAACCACTTTACACCGAAATAACTTTTGAACAGAAATAATGTTGCATGTTCTGTGAGGCGGTACTGCTATGACCTGAGTGACACGTGAGAGGAGATAAATAAACGTATTTTAAAAAAGGTATTCGGATGACTCGCCATTGTTTCATAGCACAAGTTTGTTTGCCCTATCCCTGCAGTTAAAAAACATTTCATAATTCAACATCAAACAGACCGTCTTTCTACAATTGCATAGATATCTGCAACAATTTATTCGTGCTCACAGATACCGCTGTTTGCAATTTAATGGTTAATAATGTGGACGCTCACACTCTTGAGCGTGTGCGTTTTATCCTTTTTTCACAAAAGCATTTTGCGTTTCAGAAGTGTAAAAAGAGTCAACAGAACATGTCCAGTTCATAAGAATATCGCTATAAAAATAAGTATAATTAAAATTATATGATCTCAACCGGATTTGCCTTTGTTCCCACCTCAAATAATATATCAAGGCTTGGTTTTATCTCGTTATTCCCATCTGCCTTGTTAGTCTCTCCTAGTTCCTCGTTGTATGCCTTCTGGACCAGCAGCTCGACAATCTCTTTGAACTCCTTCTGATGATCGTATGCCTCTGCAAGCTGATCCTTGAACTTGGAAATAAAGCTGAGTGCTGTTCCGTTCGTCCATCCAAATCCTGTCTGCGCAGCATATTCACCACCCTCACCGGTGAATCCGAGCTGCTCTGCGTTGTATTTCTCGTAAAATACGCCTTTTTGTTTGAACCCAACGCTCACCGAGTTGTAAAATGCCCTGGCTATCTGCAATGCCATCTTATGCTCACCTTTGCTGTACAAAAATTCCACAATCAAGAATTGGTGCGGCGCCCACACGTTCGGGAAGTCCCACTGCTGTCCGGTGTCTTTCCCTGGTCCGCTGACAGGCACACCACCAATGTAGCTGAACAATTCTTTCTGATAGCTCTGCAGAACGTTGTAAATATTGCCTGTTGGCGGTTCGACTCCCATGATAAGAGGGAAAACATTCGAAAAGTAGAATCGGCGCGCCACAAACTTGTTGTTTTCGGTGTCATAGTCATTCCATGAACTCACGTCCTTGTTCCACAGCACTTGGTTGATAGCTTCCATTCTTTTTAGCGATAGATCACCGAACTTCCTTGCCTCGTCGTGTCTGCCTGCCCTTTTGAGCAATGTTGAGATTATTTGCTCGTCCTTGAACAGGATAGCGTTAAGATCTGCCGGAATTTGGTTGTACGCATTTATCGTCGAAATGTCGCTCTCATCTTTGAACCACCTACTCGAAAAGTCCCATCCAGACTCAGCACCGGACTTGAGATTGCTGTAAACTTCGCGTTCCGAGAGTTTCTGCTGTGAGAGATACGTATGCATGTCCTCGCTCAGCGATTCAGGCCTTGGAAAGTCTGTTGTCACGTGAAAATAATTAAGCTTGTGGAGTTTGCCGTCACGTCCCTTAACGAGCACAGACCTGTACTTATCAAAGAAAGCGTACTCCTTCAGTGCCATTTCCAGTCCCTTGTTCAAGATCAGCTTGTTATATTTACCACCGTCCAGGTCAAGCATCTTGAGAAGCATCAGGGGGAAGAATGGCGGCTGTGACCTGTACATGTAGTACTTACGTGTGCCGTTCGGGATGTATCCCAGTGTGTCTATGATGTGCATGAAGTTTTTGATGATGTTGCTTGCTGTTTTATCCATCTTTGATACCACGAGACCTTCGAGGATGAAGTATGTGTCCCAGTAGTAAAATTCTCTGAACCTTCCACCTGGCACTATGAACGGGTGCGGGAGGTTCAGCAATGTCGATTCGTGCCCCTTTTTCACCACAGCAACTCTGCTCAGCTCTTTCCACATCCTGTTCAATCCTAGCGTAACATCTCTTACGTCTTCGTTGGCGATGCTGCTCAGGAACGGCGGCTCGTCTTTATAGTCGTCAAGCGGATGTTCGGTCAGATCACTGCCGGGAGCCTCGAAGTTCTCGTCGATGAATTTCTGCAAAGCGTGCACCTTGTCTTTGTCACCTGATTTAGGCTGCATCTTCATAACGTACGCCATCAACGTTCCTAGATCTTCCTTCGTGTCGTATTGTTCGTCAGTTGCAACGAAACGGTCAATCCCAAGTTCCTTCTGCAACTTCTCAAAATCATGGCTTATGTCCTTAATCGGTCTTTTTGTTGGCCTGTCGACAAAATCCTTTGAGTCTGAATTTGGCAGAAATAGTTGTGCTGCCAGCAGCAGATTAAAGTCTGTGTATGTCGATACATGCTTCACCAAATCATTCATGTTTCTGGGGCCCATTGCCATTAAGTCGTCATCAGAAGTATTTGTACCATCTATTTTGTCAGAGGTGCGCGGTGAGAGTACCTTGGTAGGCTTTGGAAGCGTGCCTGTTTTCTCAGCCGTCAATCGAAATGAGAGTGCCAAATTGGCAAGACATAAAATTAGCATTGAATGCCTATGTCTGTGAGTATTTAAACCTTTTACCAAACACCATGTTTCAGAATTTATGAATTAATTTGACTATTCATCAGAAGATCTTTTAGTTCTTATCTTTCTGATAGATGGTGATTATTTGTGCAGATTTGATCGTATCTTGCTCATCTTATCGGTATGTTTGTGAAGTGACAATACCTTGGCAAGAAATGGCAGTGGCACGGTTTATTTCTCCGAAGTATGCCACTATACCGGTACTTCGTGACAAGCCACGGCATATGATCAGAGACAAGCTATGATCATTTCCAAACGACAATCCACGACTAAAGAAATGCATTCCAAAGCATTTGCTGGCGAGAATGTGGTAATGAAGAAAATGTACGTTTTTTCTATCGCTATATGTGCTTTGATGAGTTATGGCATGTTATCGTGTTTACACACCCATATCAGAGCACAGTTCTTGACACCTGTAACAAGGCTTAGAATCCTTCAAGAGAAGAATACCCCGTACACACGAAAAAACATAAATCATACGAAAACAGGTGATGACCAATTAATTAAAAACAGATGATGGCATATTTTGATAACCTGGAACAGCCAATCAAGTAACCGACCATGGATGGTTTATTAAAGATTTGTTCCGTGGTAAGGATTCGATACAAAAGAATTAACTGCACTGAAAAGCGTAGGTCCCAGGTATTAGCTGTTAGTACCGCAATGCTATGTTTCGGTTGCAACCTTTCCCTGTTTTTGTAAACACATGTTTAGTTCGTTGCTATACACGACATTGCAATTCTTTAGCAAGTCATCCACCGATTGATGCAAGTCAAAAGATTTTACAAAAGTATCACAGTGATAAGCATGGCAAGAAATAGCTTATCTAATTAAAATCAATCATTTTTACCAATAACATTAACTCATTGTGTCTTCGAAATATTTTGACCTGCTTTAGCACAATTTATACCAAACTGTTGTCTTGATGAACTGATCGCGAAGCATGAGCTAATACGGCAGTTCCTGACGAAATAACCAAACGCTTGACCAGCAACCAACACCTATAACTGATATCGTTGCTGAACACCGTATCCATAGCGGATAAACTCGTAACACGGTTCTTCCTATGGAGAGGTGTTTGCTAGCTTGTAAAAGCAATTAACAAATACCAAATCGCACTTTTTAGTCTTCGAAATGAATAACGGAATAGAAAAGTGCATTCGTGCTGTGCAGATGGATAAACGTACTTTTACTGGAGGAATGAAAAATTTGAGGATTAGATGCGTGTGCATGCCGATCATTTGCGATTTATGAACAGCGTAAACACTCGTAGGAGATTCAAAAATGTAGCTGTGTGCGAATGGCACATGCCATTGTTCTTGTCACAGAAAGCGCGGTATTTGAGCATGGCATGAGACGGCAATTCTACTAATTATGCTTTAATTACTGATAATTAGTTGATACGGATCGTTAATAGCACGTTATTCCGAAATAAAAGCACGCCATGACTACGATTAATTAATTACTTTTGGTTTATTAAATACATGTCTTCACACCACACATCACAGATATTATTCAAAAAGTAATTCTCCACGTTGGTAAAAACGTAGAACACATGTTTGATCAATGTTCATCGGCTGATTTGTGCATTTCAAAACGAGGATCTACAAATCAAGAACAGACTAAAAATGGCGTACATGATGAATAGGAGCGATTAATTCTCGTACTGCAGGTGGTAGAGATTTGCACAAAAATTGCCCTACTAATACGGAACAAAAATTGTTTAAAAATACATCGAGCTGACCTGAACAAACAGGCTGTTCTTTTCTTCACATGAACAAATGAACAAAATATCTTTGATTGGGATGATAAGTTCACAACCACAGGAACATAAAAACTATTTTGAAGGCTTTGAATCAGCTCGGGCATTACTGACGGTTTGTACGAAGATAATGATGAATTAGGGTTACAGGTAATAACATTGTGTAAGCAATACCTGTTCAGATGGTATAGTTCGTTGCAATGAATAGACAAGTTTTAGTGAACAAACTGAACAATACTATCATATGAAGCGATAGTGTTGTGATGCTTCTCAATTCGTTAAATAAATTGTAGCGCTGATCTTTGACCTGTCACAGAGGCGTACATATGCATGTTATACAACATTTTTGAGGCAATAAGTAACTTTATATGCTTTTATTTCGTACGGACTTGTTTTAAAGCAGTTTGTTTCATTTCATACGATGTCCCAACAGCACGGCAGCGATGAAAGAACGGCTTTAGATCCTTTATCAATGGCATTCTGCAGGAATAGGCACTACGTATGCCGAGAGCTATCTAATAACAATTTATATTTTCTATTAAAATAATTCTATTTAAAGATCAATTAACCGCCTTTCTTGTTTTACGAATCATCAATTTCATAACATAATGTATTTATTTAACTTATAACTGCTCTTTCATCTCTTCGCCATAACCTCGTTTAACACACCCCGTATTCTCTCCACTTCTTCCCTACACTTCACCTCAACTACCTCCAACCACTTTTTGTCAAACTCTCCGTTCCCAAAGATTCCAATCAACCTGCAATTATTGCGCAGCACCAAATGATACATGCGCATGGCATCGCAAAGCGTGATTCCGACCAGAAAATACGACAGAGGAACACCAACTTGCAAAACAGTTATCGATACAGCGCTCACCAGCTCGCCAAAGCACTCCTCAGTTCCTTTAAAAATATGAACTTTTACAACGAGTTGGCACTTCGGATGCTTGAACAAGGGACCGAAATATTTCTCAAGATGGTGTTTGAAAACACCGCGGTTGCTGATAACTTTTAGCGAGTTACTGTCCTCAGCGTTATTTGCGAGTGTTGATGAAACGTAAAACCGGGATGTGGGCGTGCTGTGGAAGTAAGCTGGCATAGGGGCAACGAAATCAAATGCGTTAATTTGCATCGGTGAGAAAAGAAGCGGTGGCAGTGCTATTGATGCCATGTCGTGGTACTAAACGTGTTGTCCAACATAAAAAAGAGAAGAGTCTCATCTTTGCCGTTTAACTTTCATTCTTTTATTGAACGTATTTATTTTATCGTCACAGGTAATCAAACATGGTCTTTTCGTATCAACACGGAGAAACCGTTCTTTTACGGCTACAGAGCTTGTCTACGATCATTAAACTCAACATACCGGCACTGAAACTGGTTTTAAACAGGGGCAATTTCTCTTAAATGGGGAATTTTTGCCGGTCTACAAAGCAAACACTAAATTTACCTTCCACCTCAGTTACGCCTCACCGCGATACCACAGGCTAACGGAACGGTCACCGTGTGGCTGTGCATTTCTCCACGCGCAAGAATGCTGCTCTGCAAAAATTAGAAAACGGGCTAGAAAGACGAATACAACCGATTTAAATTATTCAATGATTTGCACCACATTCTCCTCTAAGAAAACCACCTCTTCATCACACAATTCATCAACCGCTTCCTTGACAGCACGCTCGCCCTCTCCGGTCTCCACAATCAGCTCTGCCATTGTGCATCTCTTCTTTTTCTTCACGATGCCTTGTATTCGCTTCTTCAACTCCTCCATGGCCTTTCTTTGCCCGGCACTTCTACCCGCCATCACCAGATCAATATCCAACTTGCCGGTCAGCGGGTCAATCGCATACATGAGCATCGACTCTCTGATTAGCCTCACAGCTTCCGCCACATCCTCTTTTTCTACCACCTCGCTCAGACGGACCCGTGCATGCGCCTCGCTCAGCCGGATGATCGCTTCAAGCTGGCGTGTGGTGGCCGTGATAGTATTGCCGTTGTTAAGGCTCCTGAGCTCAACGTACCTGTTCTCAATCTCCTTTTCCGCTTCTCGCGATATCACCGGCACTATTGCTCTGCTCTGCGCAACATACTCCATCAACACATTTTTGTCGTAGGCCGATCGCTCGCCGTATATGTCAATTATGAACCGCGCGGTCCGCTCATCCTGTTCTTTGTCATTTCTGTCCAGAAGAATGAAAATGAGATCAAATCTGCTCAGCAGAGTGGCCGGCAGGTTGACGTTCTCAATGATGGATTTCTTGGTGTCCCAGACACTGTTTACAGGATTGCAGCTCGCCAAAATGCTGCATCGGCAGTTAAGCGATGTGATAATACCCGCTTTTGCGATGCTTATGCTCTGCTGCTCCATAGCCTCGTGCAAAACGCCACGGCTGTGGTTGTTCATCTTGTCAAACTCGTCTATGATGCACACACCGTGGTCACTCAGCACAAGCGCACCACTCTCCAACACAAATTGTCCTGTTTCCACGTCCCTTGTGACGGATGCGCTGAGTCCCACCGCAGAGCTGCCCTGCCCACTCGTGTAGATTCCTTTGGTGTGCTGATTCACAAATGTGAGCAGCTGAGACTTGGCCACACCCGGATCACCGGCCAGCAAAATGTTTATACTGCCCCGCAACGTGCAGTTGAAATTGTTCTTGCGCACGCCGCCGACCATCATAAGCAAAATTCCCTTCTTGACATCACGATGACCGTACACGGACGGTGCTATCATCTCAGCCATCTTTTCATACCGGTTGCCCTGTGCCATGGAATCTACCACGTATGCACTTGTGCCGCTGGCTTCAACATTTCTGTCTGTCGTGCTGTTTCCTTTCGCTGCGTTCTTTTGGTGTGTTTCTGCACCGATAGTGCTACCCTCCCCACCGACAACATTTTCATCGTTCTCCTTCTTCACGGAAAGCATCTCCACGTATCCTCTGAAAACATTTTTTACCTTCTTTGTAAACGGGTTGAGAATCGGCGACGCCTTGAGAATCCCGCAGATCTCTACACGATCACCGGGCATCACCCTGTCAATTGCATACGATACCACATTGAAGCACATTGGCTCCTGCTCACTTTCCATCTCCTGTATTTTGATGACCTGCTTGTCCAAATACTCAGATTGCTCATAACTCAGCGAATAGCTGAAGAAACTGCCGCAGTCGCATGCACCCGGTTCCTGAATCACGTTCTTTATCTTCTCGATTACCACTCTCTTCCCGCAATTCGAGCACACGTAGCATCCCTTGGTCAACTCCGGAATTACAGCCGAAACTCGCATCACAATCCCCTTTATACGCACCACCTTGTCGATCCTTGACGGGCACAGCTTTCTCAGAGATATGGCAGGTGCATCGATCCCAACCTCAACATCGGTCTGCCTAAAACTGGGTTCCTTCTCCAATATGTACTCGTTCAGTCCTTTGCTCAGAATTGGAATGATTTCCGACGGGTAGTTCACACACATCTGGTTCAACTCGTGCAGGTCATCGATGAACAGCGTGTTCTGATCCAAACTAATCATGGCCCGTATTTTGCTTTGGTAGTGCTTGTCAAGAATGTCTTTGAAGGTCTCAATTGTTTCCGATATGTTTATGGTGGTTCCCCAAATTAGTTTTATTTTCTCTGGCTGGTCCGAGATAATTTCTGTGGGCAAGTCGGACGGCGTGTTGGGGTGCATGCTCGTCATGTCCTGCGATGCATCGAACGTAAACGTGCTTGATGGATTTTCCATGATGTAAGGGCAGAGAAATTCAAAAAGTTAAGCGGGCATTGCTGTCATCGATACGTGTGGTATGCCATGGTCGGTCCCTGCGAACCAGAAAAGCATCTATGATTGGATGTTGCAGCGTGAGGCGGTGAATAAATGTTGTATTTTGGAAGAGAAAGGTGCTCGGCATGCAGCACAACGCAAGCGTTCTTACCGTCCTACCGTAAAGTAAAAGGGATGAGGAAAATGACAGGCAAATTCAATCTCACAGTCTTTTAAACACGATTCGCCCGTCATTCCATGCTCAGTACAAGTTCTGTCACACTCGATCAACCCATTTTACAGCAATACGCGAGAATGCTATTGCTACGCACGTATTAACAAATAGATCCATGTACTGAATGATTTGAAGTATTGTTGTGGAGAGGGCACGGTTCTACACACGCTCTAATTCCAATCAATACCAAATTTGTTCGCTGCCACAGCTACACCTCAACATCCGCTTTAATTACCGTATCTACATCACACGATCACTCCACTCGTATATTTTTTTATAGAAGGCTGTGAAGTAGAGCCCGATAAGCGCAAGAAACGAGATCACACCGAAGAGCCCCAGCATCAAGTAAAAAACGATTTTATCCTTCCATTTCATTGTTTATTGCGCCGTGGTTCTTTTTATGTTTCTTAGTGTTTCATCAAAAACTTGAAGTGACGCGCAAAAAGTAGTATGTTGTTGTGAGGTGCTGAAGACGGCCGTTGAACACACCAGGTAAACTTTTAAAAGACACCGTTCTTGGGAACATGCTTGCCTACATGTGAGATTGTTGCATCAGTACACGGCTTTGCCACTCATGGTGTGGTAACACCGTTACAGTTTGAATGCATCGATTCGTGCGGGCAGATTTGAAATGAACTCTCATTTTTGTTTGTTGCTGAAAATTTGGATTGAAAGGTTGTTTTGAGTGGGATCAATCTTGATGGAGGTAAATGTTTCGAACTTAGCTTTTTTCCGGTGAGATGCCTTGCCAGCACTACTAATAATTTTCAGATAGGTGAACGACTTTCGGTAAAAACGTTTTGATAGCCTACGAGTTGTTCATCAGAACATTTTATTTCATTCAATACTCGCAATACAGCAGTGTAAGGTACTAAATGCCAGTCTTTGTGATTCACGTTTACTATGTTCCATTCTGAGTAGCAGGAATGCTCTTCGTTACCACCAGGCTTATGAACTGATACAGCGTTTTAGCAGAGGATACCTACAGAAACGTATTTTAGCAGTTTTAATGGTAATTTGTTCGGTGTATTGGTTTACATCTTACAGGTAGAAGACATGTGAGTTATCTGGTTGAATATTCTGCGGAAAAGGCTCCTTGCCGGTAGTTACTGCGGTTTAGAAAGGTACATTTATCTGGGTGGTCTTGTGTGATGTGAATGACAGACAGCTCATAAAAATGGTGCTGTGGAAGATTCACCTACTGAACGCTTCATAACAACAAAATGTTCAGAAACAAACATCCTGAGGTACGTAAGGAAAGTTGATGAGCAACAAAGCTCAAACTGAGACTTACACTTCGAAATGATTTGATCAAGTTCACAAAGAGAAAAATTATCTGAATAACGGAACCGCTGCCATTCACATCATAATACAAGGTTCATCTGTCACTGCCGCACGCGATATTTGCTTGTTAGCTTTAGAGTAACGTAAAAAGAAAGGGAAGTGTTATATTGTACAAATACCGTAAATTACATTTAAAATGCATTTCTATCCTTACCATAGCGTAAGCAACGGGTTGGTACTATAATTTGCAGCAATGCAATACTAAATCAGGATTATATTCCAATTTTACATAGTAAGTCAGCAAAAACTTTTCCGTTGGTAAGTTGTAGCGTTTGTGTACTCAATTCGTAAAAAGATTGTCAAACTGTTTTCATCACACTTTTAAAAGCTAGACGTACTAAGCTGTCAGGGAGATTGTTTGGACCGATGAAACGTGCTACATAACCAAGCACCTGTCCGGTATACAAACGGAAAGGATGGCTTGTTCGTTCGCTATGTAAAATCAAAAATTATTTATGTATCAGGTACGGTCCTAGACACATCCGAACTTCAAGGGAGGCATCGTATAAACAGAATATTAGAGAAAGATGCCTTAGGTAACATCGCAGCAATAAAAAATAAACGGTGCTGGTTGATTAATAGATTCATTTGCCATGGACCGGCAATACTTCATTATCAAGCATTTGATAGGTAGGACCACGTGCTTTCACAGACCTAGGACATTGCAGATATGCTATTCCTCTGTTAATAAGCTCTTCATTCCAATGAAAGAGTGCAAATATTGATCAATCATATCAAATTTAATTATCTTGAGCCAACGTTTCTGTGCTATTTGCTGAAAATACTCTGTGATATATTTGTACCATTTCTTCTTCCTGTGTAATGTTTTTGTCAAAGTCCGTTTGTTCTGATATGAGCAGCAATTGATCAAATAATTGAGTTTGTGTTTCATCCATTTTCTCCGAACATTTCTCAAAACACACTACCGATCGAATAAAAGCCCTACGGACCCCTTTTTGCATATGGTTAGTCAGTTGTAAAAGCGCGAAGAAAATTTCGCAATTTTTTGTAAAATTATAAGTCTTCTTAATCATGCAAGAAATAACATCCAATTGAACGCATATCCATGCCTTAAAGGCGGGATCATTATTTGACTTAACCAATATATGATCAGTAATCATTCTGATCTTTAGATAATCTACCTCTGCCTTAGAATCTGATACTTTTGCCTTGACATCCTTCATGTAATCACCAACCAGTTCATTAAAAGTGTTATCACAACCGAGCATGTCTTCTAATGACTTTGCCTTAGAGGATTTGTCATCGTTCTGAAAAGAGAATGTAAAAAGAGTCAATAATATGAGAAACATAGCACTATAATCGGATATTTGGTGCGCTGGGGTAGATTAAAATCTGAAGTTGCAGAGTTATGGCTTCCCTCCTAGCGCAAAAAAGGAAGGTCTACAAAAATTTTGCAACATCTTCGAAAATCACTCTCTGTTACCCGTGCTTTCCGTAAAAACCTGTGCTAGCGGTAAATTAAGGATGTAGTATTTCATTATTTTATTTTTGTTATCTGATCTGTTCGTTTTTCACAGCTTTTGATCACTAATATCGAAATATGTCGGAAATTGTTCTGCCATAAAACATGTTGCGTGAGACGAATGAACGAGCTTCTAATGAAATGAATTTGAGAAGTATTGAATAAACCATGGTTAATGAGGAAAGCAGTAAAAATACTAGAATGATCTAATTAGCGAGTAATTCTGATGTTTATAGTGGTTATTTAAACTAACGTGTGCAAAATTGCAGTAGCCGGAGAAATATGCAGGTCCAACAAGGAAGCAGCAGTATCTGACCTTTCTAATTTGTTTGACTGCTTTTTACGCATAGAATATCTAGCGGTGCCTTACATGTGTAATAGTTATGCCCGCATTGGTTGGTATAACCTAACCATTTACGCAATGAATTACCTTTGATATGTTGCATAACGCCTCACTAGGTTTATTGGTGGTAAATTTCTTGATGTACTTTTATCTCTTCCTGTCGATAGCATACCGATTCCGAAGAAATGCAGTAAATACTACAATTTAAAAAGTATAAGATCTGCTTAGGTCCGTTCTATGTGCTCTCATCTATTTTAAAATTGTAATTTTCAATCTAATTGAGGGAACGAAAGTAAAAAATAATTGTTGATATAATTTCCTTATTGAGCCAGAGACCGTATGGCAGGATCATAATTTTTAAAATAGTCTTTATCAAGATAAAACACCACAGCTGCTGGATTTTAAATTCATATATCCTCTTATTACGAAACAAGTCATTGATTAACTGTGATACCTCCAACAATTTCAATCAACACATAATGATCGTGTAAATGGAACATAATTTACATCGGTGTGAGGATAAATAAACATACTTTAGAAAAAAGTATAATTTATACAGAGCTGTGTATAACTAACGAACCTAGCCATACCATAAGACACTTATGGTAATTACAGGATGATAACTCTTACACGGGTTGTAATTAGTAGTGAGAAACTTTACTTTTGCTTTGCTTCATTGATCGTATGCTTTCTTATAAATATACGATTTACTTTTTGACACGAAATCGGTTATTTACCTCATATACTAAGTTTACTTATCATTTATAGGCACGCTTTCTTGCAAAACTTCAAAAGCGAGTCCTATTTCATCAATTCAACACGCAATTTCGTTCATTATTTTTCCCGTTGCGAGGTGTCATTCGAAAGATATCCCTGAATACGAGTTCCATTTTCGTTTTGTGGCTTCTCCAAATCTCAATTTTGTCTGAAAAACTGCAAATCCTAAAAACGTGCTTGCACGTTCTAAAGAAATTCGGTGTTTCATTCTTCGGTTCATTCTGTATCAGCTCGACAGCCTTATCCACTGCATGTTTGTAATATATCTCTCCAATAACCAACAGGACATGCAGTAATGAATAGAAACCTGCACACTTGGCCGCAAACCCAAGCACATCCATGAAAATATATGTATTAATTTTGAACTGATTTATCAACTCGTTTTTGTATACCAGTCGATTATCGTGTATCAAACTGATCAGGCCATCAAATGTTTTGGCTGCCAAACCACAGGGCTCTTTGGTGTCGTCATTAGCCTCAATCGTTCTCAAATCAAAAATATAACCATCGATCAATTCCATTACCTCAGGATTTGTGAAGAAGCCTTTTTGTGGACAAAACAGTCTCAATTCGCACCATCTATCCGAATTTGCAGCTGAGCATTGTAAACACACGAGCAGACCAACGAGTACAAGCATCCTCAACAGTTTCTTGTTCGTTTAAATATTTATCAAATTAGCATATTGGGAAATTTCCGGTTGTGCGCCGTTCTTTTTGGTAGTTGCCTGTTAGGCATTCTATGCTGAGTAGAATAGTGAACAGCAAATGCCCTGTATCATGGCATATCATCATGATTTATGTTCTTCTCTGATATATGTCAAGAACCTAATCGTTCATTAATGTTTGTAATACGTAGTATAAATTGACCGGATGTAACGAAAATAACAAATTGGTTCGGTACTTTTCGTGTATTTAATTTATTGTAAGATCATCAAATACGATTGGGTTGATGTGTAATTAATGAAATAGCAATTATTAGCTTTTCAGCACAGGACATAATCCGATTCGTGATGCACCATCAAATTTGCTCAGCGGTTAGAAAGAATGCGATCTAAAGGGAAGCTCGTGCACGATATGGAGTATTACCTTGTTGGTAGAATATCACTATTTGGAGATGTTTCTCGCTCTTCCAAAAGTGGCGAGTTAACCATTGCGGTCATATGTACAAATTGATCGCGCAGTCTAGCGAAATGATAGATTGTGAAAATGCCACCAAGAACGGAGATAGTGATCAAGAACTGGTGACAAGCGGTGAAACTTGGTGTGTTTAAAGCAAAATTGTATTGTTTGCGATGGCGAGTAGGATACCGTTAAAAGTGTAGGCCCATAAATGAGTAACAACCAAAAATAGAGAAGAAAACTTACAAGTACTTGCCAAAGGAGCAGATTTTGTACCATGGCGGTATGTTCTCATGGTTAGTACGTAACTGCAACGTATCACATGTTTTGAGTAAATATTTATGACAATGGGCAGGGTATGCACAGCGTAATCGTAAGCAGGGGCATCATGGTGTAGATGTAAACTTTGTTCTCATCAAATTTTATCGTAAAATAGGTCACTGTCTGGTCATAATCGTGTAAAATATTGTAAACATGCCTATTGTATTTAATACCACCAAAGTGCTTGCAAAATTTTTTAACTATAATTTGGTTGCCCACCCCTTTCTTCCTGTTCTGTTGTGCAGTACCAAAAATGGAAAACAATCAATCCATCACGTATTTGTTGCCTGAGGATTAAAATTACGAATTTGATCTACAAATATAAAAGTTACGCTGTTTTATTGCGCATACACAACTATTGAACTAATTGTTATGAGATTAGTAAAAACATTTTAAATCTAAAAACAACCATAACATGCTTTGATGGACTTTCTGAACGTGTCCAGAACCCACCAAAATCATGAGGCGTGCCGATTGCACGTTTATCATGCTGGCCATTCAGCCGATATTCCCTGTATGATTCGGATGCACAAAAGAATATGCTTGGATCGTTTTGCAAGCTCATTAGTACAGCGTTTACGAGCCATTTGTTATCGTCAACGTACGCAAGTGTGTATTTGAATAGGTTATATATCTCAGTTGGAATGAGTAAGCAAGGCTCTCCAGATTTTGTTAGCACTGTTCTCTTGAACAGCAAGAAAAAAACGGCATCTTGCGTACGCATATGAGGCATTAAACGGGCATTTGTACACACGGAATCGCGGTCAACAGATTGCGATAAATTTGCATTCTTAGATGTAAATGGTGTGTTATACACGAATACGCCTTCACTCTTGACCAGAACCCTCATCATATACCTGTCGCCCTAAATTGGCACATTATGGTGTGACCTCCTATTTCCTGCATCTACTATTACCGTAATCTCCACATTCTCAGGGTTGTAAAACATCTTGTACGCATCGCTTACATCCTCTATATCCTATCTGAAAATTGGTATGTAAATCACTGTAGCAGTGATATAATCGTGTAAGTTGAACAGCATCGAATTTTGGAATGTTTTTGCCTGGATAATCACCAGAACATTAAACAAATAAAATAGAAAGTATACCACGCAGACCAGCGAGTAAAACAGTAAAAATATTTGTTATTTAATTGATGGCGGAAAGGTAGCTCAAAGACATGGCGGAAGGCTATAAAAATTTTTAAGGCTTAAAAAGCCTAATTTTGAACAAGGAATACGATCAAATATGATATTTTAACCAATCGTATAATTAGCAAATATACGTCGTACTAAGACAAAACGGGTTATTAGTTATTAAAAAGCGAGCATCTCATCTTAAGTTCACTAAACCGTGCTTCTACAAGGCAACACCAACTGATTCTGTCACACTAAAGATAAATTAGATCATTCTGTCAAAAATATTTTTGTCCGTTGAATAGACTCGACAAGAAGCAAGGAAGGGGCTCAGATACACCTAGCTGTGATGCTAGCGCATTTTGTCCCAAGTGGTCAATTGTTTGCAATGCCCAGGTCATATTCCACATTCCATTCATTTACTATTCTGAGTGTTGAGGGCTCCATCTGATAGCTCTTCTTTGACGTGATGTAAAACAGCTCCTCGAGGTACTCACGGTCCACATAGTTGAATATCGACATGAAATAACTGTCAAATTTTATGGTATGAGGTTCGATAATTTCATCATCATTTATGACGAAGGACGCTGATATGTACAATTTGCACAATCTTATCTTGTTCGCACCTATTTTTCCATCAATAACGTTTAATTTGCAGTTCATTACCACCAATATTTCAACACATGGCGGCAAAAAACTGAGTCGAGCTGGTTTCTTCAAGAAGTCGTCGTCAATTATGAATACCTCTAAATTAGGAAGTGTTTTTAAGGCATTTAGAGATAGCGGTTCTATTTCCCAGTCTCCGTTATTTATATACGAGCCTGATATGTTCAGCAATCGTATGCTCTTTGGTAGACACGCAAAAGTTTCGTTCGTAAGATCTTCCACACAAGCTGTTAGATTTTTCAGACCCGGCAACTCGCGCAAGAAATGGCAGTTACGAGTGCTGATCCACAACCTGTGATATTCAAGACTCTCAATCTTAGTAACGGCCAGCTTGTGAAAAACTGCCGATAGTATCTCATTGTGCGTTGTAGCCAGCTCGTTTTCTGTTGGAGTGCCAGGACCGGCTTGCCAAGCTAACAAATCATTTCCGTGATTGTGTCTTAGATTGGCATCATGTGGAGGTGTTTGGCTGTAGAGCATGAGGTATTCCTCCAAATTTGGCCGAGACATTTCTTTGGAGAGGCGGCCTATCCTTAGGTGTTTTATAAAGCTGAACTTATCCAGTAAACTGGACAAAAGCGCAGTTCTTTCTGAAATGTTGAACAATGTCAGACTGTTTGTGCTTATCGAGCCTCCGATCATAAAGTTTAGGGATGATTCTACCGGAAATTCGATACTTATATTATCAATGGGACCGGAAATGGAGAGAGCAAATGTTCCTCGGCATTTCCTTATTACTAAGTTTCTGCAACTACTGTTCACGGTAAAGATTGCATAGCTCTTTACATCTACGTTGTGCAATGTAACCGTGTCATATTCACCAATTATCACAATCGATGTGCTAATACAGCACACTGCAAGCTCAAAGTGCCTTGTAAAATTCTGGTTTGTCTTTACCTGAAAAACTGTTGATAGTGTGAAGCGTAGTGTACCGCTTACATTTCCCTGAAAATGGTACCTTCCCGATGATTTGCTTATATCAACATTGGTAGCGTTGTTAATGGCTATCGTTAGTTGTTTGTGCGAAGCAACACCTTGGAAACATATTTCATCAACGTTATGATCGATGGCTACCTCGTTATTGATCTTTGCGTAGCGTATACGAAGCGAAATTGATAAATCTGCTCTGCTCTCATGAAAGCACAGCTGTGATCTGCGCTTGTATAGAAGTACCTTACGCAAACCGGCAATACCTGACAGGTTTATCCTGCCTGTTACGTCAAACAATTTCAATACTCTGCATCCGTACACGAAAGTGACAGTCCATTTAGGCCTGATTATTAATTTACGCCATGTGATGGACTCAAACTGCTTCTTAAAAAGGAGGTTGCCACAAACCACCAGTCCATCGCATTTCAGATCAGTTACGTCACCGGGAATTGCACGAATGTTCCTGCTCGATGGGCTCCAAAGGCACATGCCGATTGTTTTTATGGGACTGAGTGTAGAGCCTACCACATCTACAACATAATAAACCGAACGTAGCTTTTTGAGCAGATCAAAATTTCTGAACGCTTCCATCTCCTCTCTAGAAAAGTATCCAGAAAATTTGCAGGTTATACGTTCGACATGGTGCTGTGCCGACAACTCGTGTGTACAAATGCAACTCAGTTTTGCTTCAACTCCTGAGTTTCTTATTAGCAGGTCTATGGCACTGTCCAACTGCAAACTTCCATCCACAAAAATTGTTAGTTTTGAACTGTGGTTATTGAACTTAAATTTATCGTAGAACCTGTCGACATTCTGTCTTAGGTACTCAAACTCAACATCGAGGTACTTGAACAAAAAAGCAACTTTCAGCTCGTCTAGCGGTGTTTCATCTGCAGTGTTATTTGTTCCTATTTTCCTGTTGCCGTACAGGTAGGCTACGGGTTTACCACCGTCCGTAAGTGAAAGTTGCATAGATGAATTGACGGTATCTCTGAACTGTTTCAGGGCGTCACTGAAGTCATGCACACCGTGAAACGGATACGAACCGTGGCATTTCCTCAAAATTGAACAGTTTTTGTGGTACTCGGATAACGAAAAGAAAATGTTGGGGTTTTTCTGCAAACTCATGCAAATACAGCGTGTTATCCATGTATTACTGTCTAAATTTGTGTAAATGTACTTGAATATGTGGTGTATTTCCTCCTGTGAGAGTATACAGACATCATCACTCTCCTTCGTGATGACAGCCTTTTCATAGAGCAATCTCGTGAAAGGCATTTCAATAACTGTGCATGTTTTGTTTCTTCCAAGGTTTGTTCGCGCTTTACTGTGGTCCGAGAATCTTTCTTCTGTCTTTCTGCGTTTATGAAGGAACGGTCCACTCGCATCTTCGTCATGCTCTGGTGCTCCCCCCACATGATTGCATGTACGGTAGTATGAGCACCGTATTTTACCTTCCATCATTGCATTCAAGAATCTCATCATGTTCGTATCCTTCAAGCTGTAACAAATTGTGTAATCGTAATTCTCCACGTTTAGAACGGATCGAAAGGCCAAAACACATATCACGGACATGCCAGCATATTCATACAGATCGAATGACATGATATCTTTTTTTATCTTTCTTTTAAAGAAACACGATAGCAATCCTTTTTTAGTAAGAACAGTTTTTATGAAAACACTTAGTGCGTTGCAAAAGAGGATATGAACTGAAAATAATACGCTTGCAGACTGTATTTATAATAGTTCTGTAAAATTTAACAAATTTGATGTACTAATATGTCATATTTTCCTGCAGGACTGTCCATCACTTTATAACCTACTTTAGTAAAAATGCTTTTATTGCGTTCCTGTCATCAAACATGACAGCACAAAGGCACAGCAAATTTTTTACCATAAATCGTTGATTTATCTCTTCATACCACGATACCTAAACAACACACCTCTCTGGTCTGTTGACCGAGTATTTATACTGATTTGTACCACGAAGAAATCAAATACACCAGCTCTTACAATAATCTTACACACGATCTGAAGTACGTGCTGTAACCGCAAGCACTGATTTCAATGCGTAAATAATAACTCACGCAACACCTTCTCTCCGGAGCATCCCGACAAGCCTTTCATTCCTGCCCACTTACACACAAGCACACCAATGAACGGTCCGTAATGCTAAGGTGCGTAAACCATAACTAACCATCTTATGTACCGATTTTGATCGATCATTGCTCACTATGTGAGTTACACGGAAACAAGCATTTCACACAATGAGTACGTGGTTTCAACATTTATCTGCGAATGAAACGGTGATTGTTAGGGGAAAACTAAGCGCCTAAATATCGTTTTATCAGGCTCATTTACTTCTTGCTCCCGTAATTATTCGTGTATCAGATATCCTTTTATCGAATGATTTTTTGTCGTGGCAGAAAGTGATTTGCATAGCGGAATGACATTCAAAACAGGCAAAATATAAATTTAAAGCTCACAATCAATAATTCACGCTACTTTTATTTTTATAACCATGTTGTGTGTGGCTGCAAAGAATAGTTAGGTACCTTCCGTAAATTTTTGCTCTAAAATATTTTAATCGTGTAATACACTAATTAAACGATAAAAGCTGCTAATTCGGATCAAATGCGCTGGAACTGAACAAATGACGGTAACTGCTGGACACAGAGCGGACTTGTAACGTAATAAGGCAAGTTTTCATGAAAAATCATTTGAACCACATTTGTGCCTCAGCAAAGGAAAAATAAATGGCAAAAATATAAATGAGGAAAATCAAAATTGTTTTAACATATTCATTGCCTGTGAAGTAAAAGTACCGTGCCAAACGATAATCTAGTGATATTTATTGCTAAAACATTTTAAACCGCGTGCACGCTTACTCGCTATTTAAGATATGGCACAGTGCTTTCTCTTTGCCTATATTAAAGTTCATTTTACTATCACTTCTAGGTTACATCTCGTAAAACTGTTCAATGGCATAGTTTCGCATGTTCGTATCGTGAAACCGATGTTTTCGGAATAAACCATGTACATGCTACCAATAATTCTTAGAAATGATCGCAAACAATCACGTAGGCAGAGAACTATGATTTATAACACACCGCCATTTATCATTATTGCGTATGGTGGGGATGTGGTTAAGACCGGTTTTGTTATAAAAACCTGGCACTGTTATACCAAGATGACAAAGCTAAAAAACTGTGGTTGAGACTGATTTAAAGAAACATTTCGCTAACAGTACGTTTACTTATCATAAAAACATTTGGTGAATGGCGTGTATTCTGGTATCAATGCTAAAGTAGAGCTCAAACAAAGCTCTTATTAGGTTCGCCAACATTCTTCTCCAGTGCAAAATCCTCTGAATCACATTATTGATAGAAAATCAAGTAAAAAACCGTTTTTTTTTCGTCTTTTGACTCATCTGCTCTATTCAAGTCATGTTCGTATGTTTTTTCTGCATACGCCGCACCAAATGACCTATGTTTCACAATCACATCGTGCGAACACGTAATTTCCTTTGAAGCTCCGAAAAAATCATCCATAGAGCTGAAAATCTTCGGATCAACGTAATAAATCGTGTTTACGAATGAATAAAACACGGCAGGCCTATTTTCTAATCCATAAACATCTCAATACTTGCTAAATTCTGATTTTTGCTTGTTTATTATCAGTCTTGTTCTCCACACGTCACTATTTGTTTTTCTTTCTGCAAAATTTTCAGTAAATTTACTTACCACGGCTAAATGCTCATAGCTTTCATCCTTCCACTTTGTATCTCTGCATTCTGTCAAGTATTGGCAGATGATGCAGTTGACACCTTTAATAACACCGAATGCCTTTACGAGTGGACCGCTGGATCGCCGAGAACTGCTGTAGCTGCTCCTTAAATAGCATGCAAACATTATAAAACGCAGTAAAAATATTTTCATAGAAACAAAATCACCATTGCTTAAATATATTTGACGTACTCCCAAATATAGATATGTTTCCATTTGTGTTAGTGTCGTATCGAGCAGTCGCCACATCGAATGCATAGCTCTCAATAATCAGTGCCACAGAGGACTCTTCCCACTAATTGTGGTATTACCGGTACTTTGCACAGTTTCAATCTCAACCATTTTCTACAAATACAACCAATCCGCCGGGTAAAATGGCGCGGTGTACAACTCGAGCAGTATGTTAATTTACATGAATTATCTTTTTCTACAGCTCTTAGCCATGAGCAGATGAAATGGTGATTGCTCTCATGCATTTATATGACACTCAACCTGAGATATGTCTATTCTGATGCTATCACCTCATGTTAATACTGAGCAAGTTCATTAACTTTTACATAATTTATATTTGTGGGAGTGCCAACGTGGATGAATCGTTGCTTTACGGCGATATGCGAACAGCACGTTGTTGGAACGAATTTTTTCGTGTTAAAATGGTACAGAGCCTGTAATACGCGGTATACCAAATTTTGGCGCATCTAACTCTCTAAACGGTCAATAGTACCAACGCTTAGCACTCTCCATTTTTAATTAAAACGTATACATTACGGTGCTATTTACATCAACATAGTATTACCACCTGCAAAGGACCAGCAAACATAATTTATCTCTCTTGTTGTGCAATTCGCTGCATTGCACCGTTCATCCAGGCCGTACCACCGAACAATCGCTTCATGTCACAACCTACAGCGTATCAACGAACATTCATGGCCTAACACACATCCGCAGCAATCGTATCATTAAATTAGATACGATCAGCCGTACAACAAACAATTCCTTATTTATTCCGATCGATCACCTGGCGTAAACAAATGCCTCAGCTTGGTGCCCAGTCGCTTGAAACATACAACACGCATCTCAAGTCCTCGCTCGAAGCGCTCAAACAGAATCACACACCCACATACCTCCAGGAAACCAGAGACCTTATCTCAGCCTGTATAGACCTCATAAACACAACGCAACAGCGACCAAAACATGTGATAGAGTTCAACACGCTCTACAACAGCTATAACAGCTACGTAAAATCGAAGAATAACATTAACACTTTGATAGAGCGGGCAGCATTGAACAGAAACGATAAAATGCAACGGATCAACGACGGAATAGGTGAGGTTGTAAAGCTTACGGGGCTGGTGGACGAGCTTGTGCACGGACAAAGGGAATTTGTTGACAATGTAGAGGTTATGATGGATATGAATCGGGACACCGTGAGGAGGAGTAATGAGGAGATGAAAATAACCATGAGAAAGAAAAAAAAATCGAAAAGATGGAAACAGGTATTCGTGGTAGCTCTGGTACTGGTCGTGCTGTACTGTGTACTTAGGATATTTCATTAGTGAGAGATATGAATTGGATGAGTACAATAAAAGTAAATTGCTTATAATTGCTGGCGTGGTATTTGCTGTTGACATGAAGAGCAGTTATTTAGAATGTGTATTTGTGGCGGGATGATGGTATCATGATGTATTTAAACGAGTTCGCTTCATATACATGCCAGCTATCGCACATTATCAGTACAGCAGCCAATTTGCGGCTGTTAAACACCTGCAGTTGATAAATCATCTTCTTCCAACATAAGTGATTGATGCTTGATCTCCTTATCACCGAAACATGGCACTTCCTAGTACTAAATGCACCAGCACACGCCTTCAAAATTCGCATACCAAAGCAGGATAAACTGCTCATCCCTGCAACCCTAACAAATACCCACCAGAACAGCAATACTTACCCCGTACACAACAAGAGACACCGTGGCACGAACAGTGCCCATTAGTAGTTAACTTACCATTTAATTAAACTCTACTTTGTATCCTTTGCTTTTAATAAATGATACATCGTTCACCAGGTTCTTCACCATTTCCTCATCCTCGTACTCAATCAAAATATCATTTTTTTCTACTTCTACTGCCATCAATTTACCATATTTCGCAAAATCTACCACCAGCTTGCTTCTATTCTTATCCTGTCCCCTTACAATTCGTATAGTATTGCTAGCATTGTTCACCTTCTCTTTAAAGTCGATGGCCTTGTAGATGATCTCCTCATCCAGCACTTTCAAAATCTCATTTTTTATGACAAACATGTTAGAACAGTCCACAATAAACGTGTGACTGAATCTCACGGTCGAGTTGTCATGGTAAACGAACTGCCCCAGCACACACATAAGAAAGTCGTGTGCTGAGAGCATATGATACTCAAAACATGATACAAGCACCTTTATAACCTTCTTCTTATGATGAAGACCGAGCATTCTTTCCATGATATTCGTGTTGGACAACGCTGCAACATTGTCCTCGTGTGATATGCTTATTTGCGATGCAGGGTCGTAGAACGGAATGATGCTCTGGTAGGAGGAACAAAGTGAGCCGTAGTACTCGTTCAGGAACTTTTTCGGGGTGTTAAACTGTGAATCGGTCATTTTCTGTTCTCTTCTTGATTCGTAGGGGGCCGACAATTTTTTTAAAAAATTCGTGAAAACCGTTGAAAGCAGACACGTGAGGCAAAACGGGTTATAGAACGCTTTCAATCGTTCATTCGTTCAAAACACATAATGTATGATAATCATGCATTACTGCCCGTTCTCTTTACTCGTATTGTGCGCAGTTTTATGAACATGCCGTTAGCAGGGCGCATTTCTCTGTGGATGGTACGAATGCCCGCTACACAAAGAACAGGGCTGATCATCCTGCCAATGATGCTACGAAATTGTGAAGAATTAAACCAGCATACCATCTATTCAGTGAATACATAGCCTGCCTGCACAGCGATTCCAGCAAAGCTAATCTGCACCAATTGTTCAGTCTTCTATATTTCTGGTCACCACAGGAGGAGGACCCCTATGCCGTACTATCACCTCTGCCAATTTCCACGTATCAAATCTGAAGCATCAATGTTACGATAAGCGCAAATAACGAAGACAAAGTTTAATTTCAGGTCAATGATACATTTGCACTGATTATCATGTAATAAAGTGATACAGCCCACACAGATCAACACACTAGAACCATGAATACTTGTCCGCATATGCTGCTGTACCAATTACGTACCTGAAACTATGAGACGTATCTGATCACCACGATCATACCGGTTTCCACTGCAGGTTATGTACCGGTAAGAATGCTTCCCGATGAACGAACGAGTGCTAACTCAGCTGTAAGCAACGATGTGCATTGTTATGTTGAGGTCGTTGAACGTTGTATTAGTGCAAGTAATTCACATATGGCAATTTTCTAGAACTTCATCTTTCTTCACTTAAGAAGCCACATCTTTCCTTTTTTGCTTATTTATAGAGAAGGACCGGAAGACATAAATTCCATTAAGGTACATCTATTCAGCAATTTTTGCTAGAAATTAATTTTTTAACCCCTACCAAAAATGCAAAACTGAAGAACACTTTCAAAGAGGTAAAAACATCATTTAAGAGAGAATAACTTTGCTTGAACATTCAAATTATTGCGTTATATAATCGCAGGCATCACAGCCTGTCACATTAAAACCTCCACTCCACCTAATTAATCCCTAAGTTTTGTGCTGCCCGGCACAAATGCAGTACGGTGATGATGGCCTGTAGAACGGAGAGACAGCACAAAAATAACAGAGGCATCAAGCACAATTCCAATTTCGGTGCTCTCCTCCCACACAAAAACACATACAAAGCAAATGCATTTTAATAAATCACTCTGCCACACCCAATTAAAACGCTTTAATGACACGTTCACTTCATCTTCCGCCTTATGTTCCTCATATACTCTCCAACGTCCTCTAAATTATGACCGCTATCATCATAAAAATACGAGAAGAAAATATCCTTGTACACGTTGCTGCTCCCGTCATCTCTGATGTAGTAGTAGTTAGGATCTAAGTGTGTGCCCTGTCTCAGCCGTTCAACAAAACTGTTCAGATGCTTAGAATACTCGTTATCGTATTCCTTGAGCACTATACGCCCCGTTACCTCGTCATCAAAGCACTTATCCACCATTTCAAGCACCTCCGGATTGGTCTCAACACCCGTGCCAACGAAGAAGAAAAGGTTGTAGCCGGCATCAAGCACGTAGAAACTATCAATGTCAAGGTTATCGAGCGTAAGGTCCTTCCGTTCCTCCGTTGCAACGTCGTACAACAGCGGATAAATTAATCTATTGATCAGTTTGAGCGGGCTCGTCAGAACCAGGTACACGTAAAATGCCCTGTAGTCCATCGGCGTGTACAAGACAGGTCGCAGCACCACGCTCTTCTTGATGCTGAGCATCAGCTTGCCCATATTGCCAAGGCACTTGCTCTCGATCATCTCCTCCACAAACTTGTCCACCATGGCCAGCCCGCTTTTTCCACCCATCTCTTCATTTATCGCCTTCAGAAACACAAAATGGGCCATCGCGTATTCGTTCACCATTGCCAGCCGTGTTTTAACAACAGGCACAACAAAGTTATTGGTGCGCAGCCTTCGGCTGCCCTTCTCGTCGTTGTACATCACCGCAACCTGAAAGACCACCCAGTCATCGGCATTCATAAGGAAATTGTTAACAAATGCTGTTCTGTCACCTCTTTCCTCCAAATCACCGCTCTCCTCGCCCGTACAGGACAGCCCACACGCATCGCTCTCCCCAATCTCGTTCAATATCTTATTGATCTCGGTCAGGTCGTCTTTTCCGCTGTTTCGTGTTTTCAGCTCGGCCACGCTTTCGTTCATCTTAAACCCAAACGTAACCGAGTGCTCAAAATTCACAGTGCACAACGCCAGCACATCATTCGTTTTCAGATGAAAGTTGCCGAAGTAATCGGAGATTTGCACGTTACTGCCCCGCACCTTGAGCACGCCCTCGTACGCCTTCTTTCTACTCATGAACATGTGCACGTGCCTGTCCAGCTTGTGAGGGAACGTGGGCTCGTTCGAGTCAAAATTTGGGAAGTACGCGAGGAACCCGCCCGTAAAGCGTGACAGAAGGCTAAGCGATGGCAAATCGGCATTTTTGCACGAAAAAACGTAGTACGACAGCGAAATGTTGCTTTTGGAGAAGGCTGCTGCCATTGTCTTGTAGTAATCATTTTTGCAGCGCAGCGAGGCAGCCGGTCCAACAAGCGAGGCCTTCCCCCTGTTCGGTACGGTCGACAGGAACGCAACGACCGACCCACCGCTCTTGCCCAGCATAGCATGCACGACATTCATCACACCCCCAAAATCGCTGTCTGCACACGCCTCTCGTCCCAAAAACTCAGCCGTCATTTCCAGATCAGGCACGCTGTGCGCATCAAAAAGAACATCGTCCATGTTAAAAACAGGCAAATGATCAAAATCGCTCACCACGACTGCACCACTGTGCCCAACGATGCACAGCGTCTTTGCGTAGAACACCACACCAACACGCGCATCGCCGAGGCACTTCATGTTTCTTCGCAGTGTGCTGCATACGCTGCTAACCACCCCGCGTTTATACGCGTCACTGGTGCATTCGATCACAAAAATGTATGAGGGCTGCTTCAGGTACGCATTGCTCGCGTCCATCTCAAGTTTCATGTTGACCAGCCGCTCATCACGCATATTTTCCACGTTAAAAAGGTAGTTGCGCAGCGGATGGAAGCCGTCCTGGTTCAGAAAACCGCCCTGGCTGATGAACGGCGTGTCTACGGTGTTTAGGCACCTGCACAGTGCACATCGCCACTGCTCGCCAGGACTTAGAATTTCGCAGTAGGGCGAGATGTATCCCCTGCATTTCGTGCACCTTATCGCACATGAAGGAGTGTTCGTGTATGTGCCTGAGAGCTCAAATGTTACGGCTAAGGGCGCAGGTGCCGATGTTATTGCATTGGCGGTGCACCGGAACGATGCGTTGCGAAGGGCCGTACGATTGTGCGTGTTCATGGGGATGGGGTAAAAAATTTAAATTTATTGGGTGTGCGCCCACCAACAGATGCTGCTGCCATGCACACGTGTAAATAAAAAGAGAACAAAGTGTTGTGAACGGAAACTGAAATAATGCGCAGATTTAACTCAAAAGTAAAAAATTGGTAGTAAGAACAGCAAGATATCCTAAGCATGGTGTGTTAGGCAAATTTAACCAAAAAGTACAAAATATAGCAATTTAATGTTACCCTCACATCAACTTTAAATAAAATATTCATCTTAGGTAACAACACCCCATCACAAATTAAATTTATTTATTACATCATTTACCCATCACCCTACCAGGTATTTGAACCCTTTCAATGGAGTACACCACAGCGTCATACCCCTCTAAATAAATGCTCCTTAAATAACCATGCTTGAAAAATTAAACGCTTTTATGATTCAAGTGATCACACATGATGCCTTACAGCAGAATTAACTGTTAATTGCGATATAAGTTACAAACAATGCATAAAAATGTTTTGGAATGCAATAAATGATTCTTAATTAAATTTAATTATTAATTCAACTACTGCTCAACTTATTACATTACCGCGATGAATAGGTTCACTGTACTGTTGATCTGCTATTTATTGCGTGCACGCTGTGCTATTGCTTGTTTTTGGTAGCTAAAAGATATTTTCTATGGAGTGAAAAGATACTTTCTGGGTGCAAAGCATTTTTGCCACGATGGAATCATTCCTTGTATTCCTTTATAATTTGTACCCCCTTCAAAATAAAACTGGTCCAATTCATACCTGCACACTCACTACTCCTATACCTCTTGGCAAACAGCATTTTACCTTCATTTACAGCAGCCTTCAGTTCTGCACCCGACATTCCTTCTGTTGATCTTACTAGCACATTCCATTTAACGTAGCAAAAGGTGTTCGTTGGTGATGGACTAAGACAGATTCTACACTTCGATCCTCCCTTCCCCTTCACTACCCCTTTTTGCTCTTCATCTTTCACTTCACTATTACTGATCATGATAACATCATTTGCTTTACTTATGCTCTTCAAATCACCGGCACTGGAATACAAACTACTCCCACCAACAGTACACTCACTAACCGTACTGTCTATACGATCATCTTTAGATGATCTCTTAACCAATACGTTGCTGGTACCGTTCGAATGAGCTGTACCACTCTCAATTACACCACTATCGATCGAACAATTCGTGTCGCTATCATACTTTTTATGTAGGTATAGCTTAATTATTTCCTTTCTATCGCACTCATCAGGTAAACCAATGTAAATATGCCTGTCAAACCTACCAGGTCTTAGTAAGGCCTTATCAATACCGCTCCTCCTATTAGTACTACCAAATACAATTGTTTGTCTCTTATCGATTCCGTCCATCAGACTAAGCAGTGTATTAACAAGAGATATTTCATGATTATACGATGTGTCTCTGTTGCACGCTATCGCATCTATTTCATCAATAAATAGCAACGAAGGCTGTATCAGTTCAGCCTCACGAAACTTATCACACAAATTACGCTCGCTCTCACCGACCCATTTGCTCTTTATGGATGACCCGCTAAAGTACACGAAATTGTAATTAAATGTTGATGACAATGAGCGAGCAAGTAAAGTTTTTGAACATCCTGGCGGCCCATACAGTAATATCCCTGTGGGATAGTCGATCAAATCGGTATGTGTACGCGTTAAGCACTCTGCTACGATATCCTTAACTTTTTGGTATCCTGCTATGTTCTTGAAATTGAGCTGCTCGTCTCTTTTCGTTCTTCTATTGATCCTTGTTAAATAATCGTTAATCGCTGATGTAGATCTGTTCGAAAGGGACAAATCCTGTAATCTGTCTGTGAGAACGCTTTCTCCATCGGTGCTGTTCTCAGAACATTTATCACTAACATCTACACGTGCATTATCGTGTCGCTTATCAACAGGTAAGCTACGATTAAGACGTAGACCTTCTCCACCATTGATAAAGGTTGCTTGCTCTTTCTCCGTACACATACGATTACCATACACCCTGTACTCACTTATTAAATTAAATATCTCATAGTAATTCATTCCAAGCACATCATTTACAATGTTTAAACCGTAATCACCCAAAATTCTTTGTATCACTCTCTTGCCCGGTCTGTCGAGTTTCATGGCACAAACATTTCCCAATCGATAGAAATTAAATAAATGGCTGTCGTTAACAATAAAAAAAGACATTTCTTTCGTTTTCTCCATACACAAACCGCACTCATCCAATATGTTGGCTTCATCCTCACCGGTACGTATCGAGAACGCGCGTCTGTACGTTTCTATCTTCATGTTGGTGTTGAGAAAATCGTTCATAATCATGCAGAAAGTTCTTTTGCCAGTTCCTATCTCACCGGATAGCACAATCTTATCTATCGGATCGATTCCCAAGCGCTTTAATTTGGTAGGAAAGTAAAGGCTGTTGAATGCACGTGCATAAGTCTTAAGAAGAAGGCTGATGTTCGCGTAAATTTTTTTTGTAAAGCTTTTGTTTCCCACATTGATGAAGACAGTCTGATCATCAATAACAAAATATTCATCTTCCTCAGTAAGTATATTTGCTGCTGCGCTTTCATCTTCTTGGTCCCTAACACTGTGCTCTTCTTCGTCCTTTGAATCTTTCTCACCTATGTTGTTCTTTTGTATTACATCGTTTAAGTGCTGTCCATCTTTTTGGCTGCTGAAGCGGTCACAGGTCACTGCACTATCCCCACTTTCCATCTCTCCACAATGCATGCTTTGCATATTATTGGTATCGCTAGTACAGTCATTTCCGTTTCCATGCCCTTCGCCAGTATCGCCGTCACATCCTCCACTGCAATCATTGCCTTTCTCACCAATATTTTCTTTTTCTTCTACATTTCGTGCCTTCTCTTTGCTGATACACGCATCTTTGTGCCTATTCTCATAACAGTTATCAAATATCTCTGCAACACTCTCGTCCATAATATTATCCGTTCCATTCTGCCAGTAATAAGGTAAAGGCACACACAAGCATTCTCGTCTTTTGTATATTCTCAGCACCTGTCCGTTATCGACTCTTGTACCGGTCTTGATAACTCTCACCGTTTTCAGTCCGTCTACCTTTCCCGAATAATACACTATTCCAGCACGTGACAGATCCGCTTTCTGTACATCGACTTTATGTTCATTACCAATCTTCGCGGTATATAACCTCGAAACAACGATTGTGCCAGGCGAACAGACCTGTGGAGAATACTCAGCATATGCATACACATCTCCTATCCTTATTGAACCTTCTAACTCTTCTATACCTACATACGTGATGTACTTGTCACGTCCCACAGAGTAGTATAGAGAATAACTCATTTTTTGTGGGGTGCATGGGTAATATCATCATATGAGTAAAAAGACAAATCGGAAGATGATTGGTCAGTTCTGGAAAGTAAATTATTTGACCCTTCGAGAAAAATAAAGAATGTTTGTTTCATGTATTTGCACTGAATAAAAGATCTAAAGTTGTCGTACAACTCATTCTTTCTGAAGCGCCCTCAATTGTCCTCTACTAACAACATCAAAATTACACGATCACCGAATAGTAGCTAATTAATTAACCCCTACCATAAGATCTTAAACAATAGAAAAAACATAATACGAGATATGAAAAGAAGAAAGTATCAAAGAATGGATAGAGCACTTTTTTTGTTTTATAAACGGGAATAGCGCAGCTAACATTTTTTTAACGGTCCGCTGGGCATTCTTTAACTGTTGATGAAACTGTGTGCATATAATTATGGCTAATTCAGCCGATAAAAGTAACCAAAGTTCTAATTTGCCGGTTATTTGCCATAAATCAGAGGTGTAGACCGTATATCTGCCCATCTAAGTTAGATCTGGTGTACCGGATGCTTAACACGTCAATGATACTAAAGCACAAGCGTATGAGGAGATGTTTATGCGATAGATAATTTTTATATAGCTATTGTGAGAAGTGTTCTAGAACGGTATTAAGAACTCTGTATAAAATAAGCATTATTCGCCATAAAAGAATAATATGTGTAAATGAGTGCTTATCAATACCAATGTGTCTTTATAAGTGCTCAAAATGAGCGTGAAAATATCCCTGTGATAAGGACATGTATGGTAGAACGCAATGAATGTGGTATAACAATGTTATAAAAAAGCGATTCTTTTTATAGAAAACAATACTTTGTTAATGTGTTGGTATGAAAAGTTCGTTTGGGCTGTTCCTGTTGCAGAAAAAGAGGTAATATCGGATACACACTCAAAATGATCAGATAAAAGATCTTGTGTCCGAGAAAAAGAGGCAATTGCAAGCTAATAAGCAGTTTTAGATCGGAAATGAGCGCAGCAACACACAACTTGACGAACACCACAAAAGGTATATTACCCAAATGATTGACGCCTTGCAATGTTACCGTTATTCCGGTCATTCATCTCTATGTTAATCTCAGGCATAATTTATAACGTAGTTTTACCAGACCTGCCAATATCAAAACTCTTATAATTCTGCTATTCCTGGTGCATAGAAATGAGTGGTAGTCTTTGTGCTATTACCAAGGAGAATACGTTTTTTAACGTTTATTTCAGCAATACTAATGCATTATCACTGTTAGCTAGTCTAAAAAATATTAATCATCATGATTTACTATAAAAAGCGGCAAATTATGAACCATCCGATTCATGTATTAGAAGAAATGCCTTGTTGGTTTAGCATGGCCTTTTACCATTTGATCCGTTCAACAAGAAGAATGAATACTCAGAAATATTATGGGCATCAACAGGAAAGGCTGTATTAGAGGGACTACGAGCGCCTTAGCAGGGAGTACGTTAAATGCTTGTAGCGTAGAAAATGAACACCCACGAAAACAAAAAAACACGCAATTTGCTCTTTAACGGGTAGATCTCACCTAATTGTACCTCATTTACTTATCTATTGCCGTACCACTCACAATGCTGACAATATCATCCACGATGCCCTCACACCCCATAATTTCTACACCAAACTCCCTCAGGTCATTCTCTCTCTCACTCTTTAATTCCTCTACCAGCCTATCCACCTCTTCGTTCTCTCTTGCCCGCTCCTTTTCCAGTATTAGCTCATGTTCTTCTCGCAGCTTGGCTATCGCTATGTCAGCATCAACACGGGAGAGCGCAAGCAGATCTGCCCGTTCATTACGTGCACGACTTACCATTTCTTTAGCCTTTTTTTCACATTCCACAAGTTTCTTTACGTTTTCTGATGCCATAATCAGATGGGCACAGCAATTCTTAATTTTAGGCAAAATTGAAATGTTTGAAACTTGGGTGTTATAGAGAGTGGAGGCAGAGGATGTGCTTAACATGATGATAGGTATAAACATGGTGAACTCACCTTATAAGGTGATACAAGCTTGTGTTGCTAGGTGTAACGGTTAGTTTAGTCTCTGGGCTACAGCAGAAAAAAGACAGGATTCTAACACGTACGAGTGATACAACAGAATGAAAAACGGTTGAGAATGGTATTTTCGTATCACGGATGGGTTGTGCACGTGGTGCAACACATTAATTTGTTTTGCTGGTGGATATTGAAGAAACGAGTTGTAATCTTACGGTTGATCTACGCGTAAATAGCGATGCAAAAGCTCAATCAAAACGGTAAGTCACCGGCTTAACCGCATTGGCAACATGCGTAAAATAGAAGGAGTATACGGCCATTTTTGGCTGCTGTTTTAGGCGTAATACATTTACTTAACTCTGTTTGCCGGTCACTTCTTGAAAAAATTGTGCTCTAGACATTCCTTTGCGCTCAATCTCTCGCTGTGATCATACACTAAAAGATTGTCGAGAAGGTCGATCACACACTCGCCCAGCTCCGTTCCAAACTTCTTTCGTTTCGCATTCTTGCTGACTATGATGTCTTCTTCAAGCGCTATCTGGTACTTCTTTATGTACGCGTGGAAATCATCCCTTCCAAGCACCTCAGTGATCACAAACAGCTGATCAATGTTGTCCTTTCCGAAGAAAAACGGCGATTTCTTGGTAAAGTACTCGGCCACAATGCATCCAAACGACCACATATCGAGCGAGTAGTCGTAATAGTTGTAGTCAACGAGCAGTTCTGGTCCCTTGTAAAAACGCGATGCCACCTTTACGTTGTACGCCGTACCGGGAAGATAAAACTCTGCTAGTCCCCAGTCTATGATCTTAAGCGTTTTGCTGTCCTTGCTGATTATCATGTTGTGCGGTTTTATGTCTCTATGAACAATACCCTTGGAATGTGCGTAATCGAGCGCACTGAGCACCTGCTTGGCATAAAACGCAAACTCCTTTCTGCTCAGCTCGGTAAACAGAACACGCGTCTCTCTGTGCTCCAAATACTCAAATATAATTGAGTATGTGTGCGTGTCGCTGTCTTTAACAACATCAACCATTCTGACAATGTTTGGATGGTCCAACTGCTTGAGCACCAGTACCTCTCTGTTAATTTTTTTTTGTCTGACAGGCTTTAACACCTTTATTGCCACCAAGCTCTTTGTAAGCGTGCAAATGCCTTTGAACACCTCGGAGTACTTGCCCCGTCCCAGTCTTTTTATTATTTTGTAGTTATCGATGTTTCCTATTTCAGGCTCGTATTCTTCGTAGCTGTAATATTCTGGAGGCTGTTCGTTGCAGTAGCTGGCGTACACCTTTGATACCGTTTGAATGACCATCTGTTGTGTAGAGGGTAAGAATTTTGAAGGGGTGGAAATGTTTGAAACAAGCGATGAGCAGAAGGTGATAGAGCTGGAAATGATGATGGGTACGTGAATGTAAGATTTAAAGCGACTTATTCTAAGCTATGTATGTGATTAATACGTGTGCAAGATGGTACTGAACGAGTATCAGACATGTAAAGTATGAAATGAGTATGTGCTAAGTTACGTACCGCATACCAGGGCAATGATGAAACACGTGGTAATTACGGTACTTATAGATTAATCATGTACATGATCAGTAGTGATGGTGCGCCAACAAACGATACACAACAAGTACCACGAATAAGGTGATAATTGCTGGGGTGTATGAATACTGTGTTAGTACCACGTACAGGCAATGAAGGGCTCGTTCTAAGTACGAACACGATGAAAATCCTAGTGCAGCAAATATAAAATTGCTAAAGATCAATAGCGTATTGCCTATGGAGAGAATTTAAAAATTTTGATCACAGTACCGAGACGTGCAGAACAGCGTTCAGCGCTTTTATTGTTTAGTAGTGGCAAAATACACAAATACGTGTTATGAAAGAATCGAAAATGAATTGTAAAAAAGAGAAGATGCATGATTGAAGGATTTAACACGAGAAAAGTACCTTTCAGTGCTGATATGCAGGTAAATAACTGAGCTGGGCGTTTTACAACGCGTTTTATGTGGAATGTATGCAAATAATTAGTTTAGCCTAGTTGGACCGATTATATACGAATATTCGAGTAGACCAGGGCAATTACGGATAATAGGAAACGAAGAAACGCATTTCTGTTCATTGCATACGAAGTGTTTGGTAGTTGTGGTAAGAACACTGATTTTAATGGTGCTGTGCCACTGCTTAGTACCGTTTTACGGTTTAGATCCATCTTTTCGTACCTGTTTGGTAACCGTTTCACAAGGATGTATGACAATGTAAAAAAGGCATTTACTTCCTTTTTACAGTTCAAGAAGGACACTTCATTTATTGCCAGCACAAAGAAGTATCTTAACATGATATTCAGAGCATACACACAATCTCATGGTAAATAGTTCATCCTACGTGTTATGATTCGAAATATTGGGTGTGTACGCTAATATGCACCATTTCGTAGAGTTCGAGATGTAAATCTGCCCGTGTAAAAAGAAAATTTGATCGATTTTCATGACTGCGTTAACGCAGTCTATCTTTTCGTGATTCGCTGATCTTGAGATACACCTTGCCTGCCGTAAACGTTTAGTTCCTGTAAGTATTTCTGTCTTAGACACTAAGGAGCGGTAATTGATTTGAGCTTTTAAGTGTAATATCAGGTACATCTTGTAGCAATGAGGGGCCATTACGTGCTACACAAGAGGTAACAGCTTTTGTTCTTTTACCGTACCTTTGGCTGGTACGCCTAGTTGGTATAAATACCTGTGCCTTGAACATTTCAGCTTATTTATCTGTCAAAGCAGCTTGAACATGGAACAGTTGGAAGGAAAGATTGATTTTCTTGCTCGGCTGTCGAAGAAAATGTGGTCAACGCAATTTTTGACGAAAAAGTGTATATGAGTTGCAATGCACAAAGAAGAACGGCAGCAACAGACTCTCACATCCTTGATTGGCCGTATGAGTGTGTACTGTTGAAGTATCTACGTTTCATTTTGATGCAAATAACGCATTCTTTTGTAGCAATACATATGGCGAATGAGTTTGGTTGAGGTCAATTTAATGAAATATACGGTTTTTGATGTTTTATAAAATCATTGTGATGTGCTTACAAAACAAGAATTATTGGCTTGGTAGCGGGTGAAGAACAGCGATATATGCAGGTGTACTGAGTTACAAACAAACCAAGAGCTGGCCTGAACAAAGCCTTTGGTAATTGGTTGCAGCAAATGCTTCCTTGGAAGAGTCTACGAGCAGTCCTACAATTCCAACAGAAAGGTAAAAAACCTATGAGTATGGTGAAGAGCTTTCACCGGGAATGAATCCTCAAAAAGCATATTTAACAGGTAATATGGTGTTATCCAACACCTTTACAACAATGCATATGCCGTACTGCATGTTTACCAAGAGCATTTAGATGCTATCATGATGTGCCATCCCAAACATACGAAATACACAAGAGAAGCTTTTATTTCCTTGTGACGTAAAAGTAGGTAAAAGTTTATTCGTCTTGAGCCAGGTTGAATACGGAAATGTACTGCACAAATAAGTACATACGGTACGTGACATGTTGAAACAGTCAGTTTATGACAAATGCACAAGAATTCATAATTTAATGGACAGGTGCTTCTTGAATCGAGGATCATCGGTCGTGTTCAGGCTCAACCGGCCAAGACAATGTGTTTATTCAGCTGGCGTTATGTGAAAGGATGAATAAACAGCTTTTAGTTGAAAAACAGTTTGAGCACCTGTGCCAAGCGCACAGCGTGTCATGCTGCAAATAACTTTTTTATTCACACATTTTGCTACAAGATAAGTTGGTAGATATGTTTTTGGTTTTGCGTTGCTACCAGAGAGTAGGATATGGCCAAATGGTACGGTATTCCGTTCGGTGAGCACGGCAAACCATAATATCAACGGGTATGTGCTTGGAAACGCGGTGAGAACGACATGAAAAGTACGAACGACTTCCTAATTTAGTACGTTTTTGGGTGTAAGCAGGTGATAGCACCATAAAGCAAGAAATATTTGTACAAGAAATGGTGCATATGCTACAAAATAGTAGTATTACCATTTACTAAACATTTTTGCGAGCATACGTTCCGATTCGTGCCATTCTTGCGCAAACCGTTTGGTAGAAAATGTGCCTTAAAATGTAACAGGTAGAAGTGGCAGTACTGCAGGTACTAGAATGTGGTCTTATATCCTTGAGTGTAAGACGTGTTGTGTTTTATAAGCTGTATTGCATGCTTGTACGGTGTATTTGGAGTTGGTGTGGAATATTGCAGTACCAGCACTGCACAAGTGAATGTACCATTATTGGCAAGTATGTCGAAACAGCCTTTGCGGTATAAGACTAAATTTGGAGTTGTGTACCTATTTGCAGACCAAAGAGGTATGTTGAGCGTTCAATCGGTGACCTGCCATGTTTTTGCGATAAGGCTAAATTCTGAAATTTGAATAGCAATACTTAAACAGATATTTGTGCGGGCACTAGATTTACAGGTGTAAAGAGATGTTGGAGTTGTAGAAGAGTTCCCTTAGAATGATAAGAATGTTTGTTAGTGACTCTGCTTGGATGAAACGGTTGTTTAGGTTAAAAATTTATTTTTTGTTCAATTTACGTTTGTAGACCGAGGAAAAACAATTTTATGATTATCAAAGAAGGATATACACACGTGAAATGGCTTCGCTCGCTTTACAGCCCGGTATCCTCTACGCTTTGGATTATTATGCTGCTGTCAAAACGAGATCAAATTTACCGCATGCTGTATAAATCCATAATTTACCAAATTTTTTTTGTGGTAAATTAAAGCAAAATCGTGCTTAAGCAAAGATTTGGACAACAAAAGAATAGCTGTCGTTGCATTTTGATAGCACTGCAAAGCATTGCTATGAATTGATTGGACGGGGTTCTTGCTTTTGTCTCACGTGCGGTGTTGAGTACATCTGCACAGAGGATCACTGTTTTGCATCAAATCTCTGCAATGTGTCATTTAATGGTAACACATAGGTTTAAAATAGCAGTTAACACCAATGTAAATGCTGTGCAGTTTTACAAATAGGCTAAACAGGTAAATTGGTAAAAGAAATATTAAAATTTTTAAAAATGTTTTCTTGGCTTTGCAACACGTTTTGAACGATAGAGGCGTACCTTTTTACCACATTAAAAGAGAAAAAAACATTCGGAATACGTTTTGAAAGGGAAAAGTGCTGTTCTAGCAACGAGCAGCAAGAGAGAAAAGAGACATGAGAGTACGAATTGGTATATTACCATTTAAATACGGTTCTTATTTTGTCCTGCTCATACCACACTCTAATTCGGCATCATTCTGCAAAATACAAATAATACAAAAAAGGCAAATTGTAAAAGTATAAAAACGAATACAATACGCACCCTATGCAGATAAATAACAAGTATTATTTCATATTTTTGATACTCAAGCTTATACGAACTTCGAACTGCAGCAGTAGCGAGGATGAGAGTCTGTCGTTTGTTGATTTGGTAAACCTATTATTCCCGGACTGCAACCCAGAAATAAGACAGAACTTCGAATTTACACTTTCGAACTTCGAGTTCGAGGTTACAAGAAATGATGTCAATGATCAGGGCTTCATTGAGTCCCATCGGAATTTAACCTTGAACGAGATGATGAGTAAGGTAGAAGAGCTAAAAGTAAAATTTCAAAGACAGGAGAACAAAATGATAAAACTAACTCAATTCATTGAGTTTATGGAGAAGTTTAAGGCAGCAGCAAAAGTGGTAGCCGATGCGTATCTAACGACGTTACAGTCGGTTTCTGCAAAACAATCTATGACAATTCCGGAATTATTGGATCGAAAGAATGAGGAACTGCTTGAATACTCTGAGACTGGGAATGCGGCTAAGCACAGACGGAATACGGGCCAGGGCTCCAGAGATTCTAGTAAATCTGGTAAGGATGAACTCATCGGATCGCAAGGCAAAGCGATTAGTAAAATTAACCGAGAAATGTGTAAATTGAAGCAGGTGGTCGCTCAGATCAAGGAAAACGATGAGCAGGTCTTGCACTTGACCAGTCAAAATGCTATTTTGGAAACCAAGTTGGAAGAAGCTGAGAATACTTACAAGAAAATACTTTGCTCGCATGAGGTTGCGCAGTCACAAATCCACAAATGTGCAGATGAGATAAAGCAAATCTTCGATAGCATGGATGTGAAAAACTCATCTGCGGATGATAATGTGCCTTCAGATGCTGTTCGTATGACTTTACCACCGAGCCCTCGGGTTGCACAACCTCGTTTGGGCCACCCATCATTCGATAATGGTCAGGAATACGAGTCGATCCCAATTGAAAGCATGTCATCACCTAACAGTCCGAGTGCTGCCGGGCATCCGGAATATCACTCTAGCTTTGTCGATCCATCTATCTCGTCTAAGATACGATCCAGAAGGAGAAATAAACAAGATGAGAAAAACACATTAATGTTCAACGAGATTGTCGATTTGTGCAACAAGTTGAGAGAGCACTTTTGTATGTCGGTCATGCCGGATGGAAATGTGCGCGAACCGACGCTGGTGGAGCTAAAAAGCGCGTACAAAAAATTGAAATCAGATAAATATTGCGAGAGTGATGAAAACGTTGCCCGTGTTGCGTTGTACCGATACGAACAGACAAGACGAGACCTTGAAGTCATTGGGATGTTGGTCAAGGAATTCTTAATGTCTGGTGCTTGTACTCTACAGAAAGTCGAATCTATCATGGGTATGTTGACTTCTCTCTGGTCCAAGGTGAATAGTGGTATGAAGTATGCTGATACTATTCGACAAAAAATCATGGATGATGATATTGACGTACCAGTGGAGTTGTCCCCATTCCAGGAACCGGAGAGCTTGCAAAATTCATCTGTGTTTGACCAAGCGGATGCAAGGAGTAAAACCAAGAGAAATGTTGCTGCGCCGAGGGATGTTAAGCATGGCGCTTCACTCACTGCCGATCAGGTCAGTAAATCGTCAGCGTACGCGCCAGCTCAATTTGAGCTAACTCAAGATGGGAGGACACTTTCCGATAAAATTGGTATTCTTTTGAAGAAGTCGAATAAGAAATTTGCGGCGTCGGCGAAGGCTTCTCCTCTCGTAGAGCGCACGAGGGCTACACCGAATGAAGCTATTTCATCATCAAGAAAAGGCGAGAACACGAGTAAACTGCAACAGCCAAGTACGGCATCGGATAAGGGCGAGCGCCCTCTGCAACATGCAAGAGTTCTCAGTGCAGAACAACCAAGTCCGGCATTGGATAAGGGCAAGCTCCCTCTGCAACATGCAAGAGTTCTCAGTGCAGAAGAAGCGTTTGGAATTGTCAACACAATGCTCAAACAGCCTTTTAAGGCACCTTCTCAATCCGATAGTCATTCCGAACACGAATCATCATCAAGCACCCCTACGGAATCGTCATGTGACAACGATGATGTCGTTGTACCCAAGAAAAAAGTGTCGCCTACCTATATGGCGCATTTGATACTATCGGGCATGAATGGTGATCAATAAATGCTGAGCTATTTAAGTTTTATTCTCGTGAACGTTTCATTACCATGAATGGTCTTGATGGTATTAATCTATTTTTTTTTGATTCATTTGATCGGAGTGTGGTAGACCAGGTCTGCGGGATGATGATTTTCACGAGAGATTTTGGAAGGACTTGTCTATAAATAATGCGATTTTGCGTGGTGCCAGTCTGTACGTTACTATTCAGCGATGGCGAATATGGCTGTTAAGCACATCACTACAGCCCTTGACGAATCTTTCCATGGTGGGTGGCTGTTGCTACGAGCAAGATAGTCGATGAGAGTTTAAGTGATAGCTGATATGTCGGTCTAATGATGCGGTTGAACACGCCAACCAGTTTTGTCGGCTGGTCGAGGAGTTACCGATTGTGTATGGGACGATGAGTAAAAGTTCGTTCTGTATTCACTGGAAACACAGCAGGCACCGAAAATGGCACACATGCTTTGAGAACCATCGTGCCGTCTACCACTCGTGGACCGATTAAGATTCGCCTCACAAAATTGCTGGAAAATGCAAAGGGGCCGATTTCAGATGAAGAGCACAGGCGTGTTCCGACAACCAGGCAGGATCGATTAGGAGGGAATTCGATCCACCGCAATCAGCAGAAGGAGTACATATGGTCGTCTAATGTACCACAGGCGCTGTAGCGAGCTTGTGTTTAGCACGGGAGATGTCGAAGAGGCATAGCAAAGTCAGTTCTGTGAGCTAGCCATTGATAAAGCGAGCAGGTCCAACGGTGCCACAGCATTGCGCATCTTCTTTCCCGGCCATCCGCTGCCAGGTTACAACAACCTGATATTCAGGTGCAAAGCACTATCTTTGCTGTGCAGCCCGCGAAGTGGAGATATACCACATTTTATGGAAGTCAATTTCTACAAATTGGTATAGTCTGATATAAGATTGGCAAAAACACTGTTGTACGCGTTCTGCTAGCTTGTCACGCAGTTGTAAGAAAGCGGAGTGTATTGATGGGTGATGAATGGATAGTAGATCAAGACAGCGCTTTTGAGTATAACTAAAACATCAGGTCGTTTCTTTCTACTAACTGTCGCATAATTACAAAATCAATAAGTCACTTTCATTCCAGTAGCTCATTATACACAACATTTCTTGTGTATACTTTACCATTCTCATGTTTTCTTTGGTCTCCATTGTCAGCAACATACACCCTTAGACCGTTTTCATAGCGCATTCTCGATAAAGCTACATACAACTGACCATGCACAAAGACTGGGCTGTGCAGATAAACACCTACCTTGTCAAATGACTGACCCTGTGACTTGTGGATTGTCATCGCAAACGAAAGAAGAACCGGAAACTGTCTTCTCTTGAATGAATGCTCGCCGTTTTTGTCGCTGAATATCATCGCGATCTCGCCCGTTGTAGGAACATTGTACCTGTTCATGTCACGATGAATGTTCTTGTTAAACACCATGTTCAGGTCCATCAACATGTTTCCTTCACGCACTGCACTTCTCTCAACCTCAGCAGGATTCTGCATACGGGTTGAATTCTCTTATTGTCCTGTCAAGATTGTGTAGTATTGCTCTATTACACTTCTCATTTGCAGGATTTCTCGATCTCAGATCTGTGGCATCGTTTGTATCAATCACATACAACTGCGAGTATCTCCTGTTAGTGTTTTCAAGCGGGTTTATGTTGTATGTGTTGTGGTAGACCTGACCATGCACCTTGAAGAAGTACACCCCTCGTGTGAACTGCTCCACATTTGCACCCATTGACGCAAACGACAGGGCACTGTTATTCGATCGTATGTTAGCCTTGAAGTTTTTATGATCGCTGCTTGCTGTATCGGTGAACAGCGATCTGAGATACTCTGGATAGCTATCTCGTGGTATGTAGGCCAGCTTGCCGAAGTGACAGCAGCTCTTGTACATACGTCTACGGTGTGCCTCGTCTTTAAAGTGCATTGCCGAACAACTTGCACAGATTTGGTTGAGCTCACCAGCATAGTGCTCGGCTGTTTCACTTTGTACGTGATAGCCGTTGCTATCAGTACTCTCATCAGATCCATCGCCACCGGCAAGACGATCATCTGATGACTCATCATCGTGATGAGATTTGTCACTGCACTTACTCATGGAGATGATGCTGTCCTTATGGTCGTGTAAACCACTTTTTGTATTACCATGGTTTTGGTTGTTTGCCAAACCATTAGTGTTTAATTTATAATTTTTTTCGATCTTCAGTTTTTCTTGCTCCATTGCCAACTTGTAGTTGGAAATCAACATTTGAAGATTTTTTTTACATTTAACGTTTTTGTTAACTTCAATATTTTTTTCGTTTTTTTTATTTTTTACATATTTTCTTGTTACAGATTGATGGGCCGTCATTCTGCTTTTTCGTCTCCTTGCCTTTGTTTCTCCAAATGAGACAGGCACAGTATTTTTTTGAATTACAACGCAGTATCTGCGCTCGTAGTTCGGCATTGTAACCAGCACTTGTTTTTTAAGTGTGGCGGATGATGTGTTAATTATCTAAAATAGTTCGATGAACTAAAGATCGGTGGATATGGTCAGTCCCAGAGATGAGAAAAGTACTTTGGTTTGCGTGTTGTTGTACCTATATTTAATTAAACAACGTCTGATAAAAATCTTGAAATAATTAAAATATTCCATGGATTATAGAGATATAGTGCAAATATTTTTCTGTGACTGAAAAATCGTGGCAGAATATAATTGAGATAGCTATGGACATTTATTGGTGAAAGGGCATTGATAATACTACATATTTGTACCAGACATTCGTCATGCAAATGAATAGCGGCCTCATATTACGAAAAAAGTGTAAAAACGATTTATATGAAAAAAGTTTTTCTGGTAGCCACATGCAGCGAAAAGGTGTTATTTGTTCCAAAATATCACAGACACTCGGACTGAGACAATTCAGCTAGGACGAGCCATCGGTTCAATGTTTGCTACGAGTGACAGAATGAGAAGAAGCGAATTCAGTCAATTGGTAGTGATGATGGGAGAATAACACATTATAAAGAGCGAAGAACAGTTGAATTACTGTAAGCGAATTGATGGATGGTTGGCATATTGCCGTCGAAGTAAATCTTTTTTATTGAAAGCAAAAATTCCTTGGGTGCATCGGGAGGAAATGTCACATAAGTCACAGCTGCGTGTTAAGATCATTACTGCGGTGGCATTACACCTTTATGTTGTGCTAGGAATGAGCACGAAGGTACTGTGCATGAGACACACAATTTCCTCCATGAATCAAAAGCAAATAAATGTCCGCGTCGATCCCAATGGACAGAAAAGTGTATTTATCTGGTGTTGTTGTGTGAGTAGATAAAAAAGTGAGCGTTAAGTAAAAAAGATGAGCAAAGGTACCTTTGTAGAGGAAATAAAGCATGTGTTATTGTAAGAAGAATTCTGTAAAATAAAAAAAAATGTATACCAAGTAACAAAAGGATAAAAAGGTGTTTGGTAACAACGAAAGGTAGCATTATAATGCTGTCGTTGCAATACGCAGCAGCGCAATTTTCTTCTGAAGCAGAAAGCAGCTCGATAGCACTCCCGTGTTATTACATGTTGTCTGCGAAGTCATCCCTTCTATACACAAAAGTGGAAAAATTGTTCAATTGTCTCTAAACGCAAAAATAATTTACTTTTTGGGAAATTAGCACGGAACAAACCAATAATTATAGACAAAAAGTAAAAATTATCATTTATCAATAAAGTGTTACTATTTCTTTGTTTGACTGGCCATCATGACCTTTAATCATTTTCATTCTGTCAAAACAGATATGATTAAATGTTGGCGGGTATATGATCAGCAACAGAAAGCGCCCAGTGCAATCAATTGCTTGGCTAAAAAGTCGATCGGGTTAATGAATATCAATTTAAATAAATGCAAAGTCTACCAATAAAAACACGTCATTAGGACACGCGAATAGAAGGACACGTCAAATTTATTAGTAAATCACTTCCTTTTTAATAATTCTCAAATCAAAGATGAGCACCAAGATCACTAAATTAATTTCTTTATAAACGCGACCGCTGCGCTACACATGATAAATGCTTCACCTGTTTTTCTATTTTTTCTAAATTTTTCGTTTGGAGGGGATACGCTAATGGATACGATAACCAGTGTCAAGGAATACATGGATTTGGATTTGTTTTTGGTGACAGTTGTTATGTGTGATAGTGTTGACCAGGTAGATTTACTTCACCGGCCAACACTGTACCCACAAAGTGTCATGAAAATGCGCACTAACGCACTTCTTAGGCAACTGGGCGTGAAGCGCTACATGGTAAATGGGCAATCGCACACAATCGAGCGCTTTCTTAAGCACATGGACGATATACAGAAAAGGGGGAGTGTGCAAAGCAGGCAGGTGATAAAAGAGTTCCTAGATCGTAATTTTTATCCTCCGGGCGAAGACGTAGTGGAAGAAAACATCTCAAAGGAATTGCAGGAACAGACGCTTCACCTAGTGAACGTCACAAATACAAGACTTAAAGAGCTTTTGTGTGCATTGCACAAGCGCTGGGAAATGCTTTACAAGCGGACCGTGCAAAAAGGATATATGAGCACTTTGATACCGCTGCCGCATCCATTCGTTGTGCCTGGCGGACGGTTCAGGGAAATGTATTACTGGGATTCGTGGTTCGTGCTTGAGGGTCTGATCGCATCCGGCTTGAAGGAACCTTCGTTGAACATGCTCAAGAATTTCATTTATTTGATTGAAGAGTACGAGTTTATACCAAATGGAACGAGGAAGTATTATCTGAACAGATCGCAACCGCCGTTTTTCTGTTTGATGCTTGAGTCGATGCTTAAATTCAAAGATAAAGAGATCGATGATTTAGTGCTTGGCAAGGGCCTAGACATGGCCATGAGAGAGCTCAAATACTTTGAAAGAGAGAAGCAAAAGACTTTTTTGTTCGGAGAGGAGAAAAAGGAAATGTTTTTCTATCTCGTGCACTCGGACTACCCACGCATTGAGTCGTTCAGGGAGGACTTGAACACGTACAGGGAAGCACGGCATTTTTACAAGGAGTACACCGCTGCAACCCTGCAGGACAGAATATTTAGCAGCCTGAAATCAGCTGCTGAGTCAGGCATCGATTTCTCGAGCAGATGGTTTGAAGACGGCATGAACATGCACACGATAAATACCATTAACAAAGTGCCGGTCGACCTGAACACACTGATCTGCAGGAACATGCAGATAATCGCCATGCTGTTGCGTATGAGAAGTGATCCAAGAGCACAGGAATACATGCAGAAAGCAGATGCACTGAAAGATCTCATAAACACGGTGCTATGGAACGCAGAGAAAGGCTGTTGGAACGACTACAACACGAGCACACAACGGTATGTGAGTGACCGGTTTTACCCATCGAACCTATATCCCCTCTTTTTTGGTATTGAGCCCCCGAACAGCTCAGCGTACGGGGTGATCCTGCTCAACAAGCACGAAATATTTGGATACGTGAGTGGTGTGCCATCAAGCGGAGATGTGAGCGATAAGAAAACAGGCCAACAGTGGGATTTTCCGAACGTATGGGCACCGCACAACTACTTGTTCCAGCAGTATTTTGAGAATGTACTGAAGGAACCTCAGATGGCGTTCCACATTGCAAAATGCTTCTTTAAATCTGTACTTATCAATTATGAGGAGAAGAAATGTTTTTATGAAAAATACACCGCATCAAATAATGGAGACCATGGTGGTGGCGGCGAGTATAAAACACAAGATGGGTTCGGATGGACTAATGGCGCAACGATTTGCTTTATTAAGGAGTATGGCGATCGTCTGATGGATACATTTGATCACAAGGCGTCCTACCAGTCGATACAGAGTAGATTGGAGGAGAAGATCCTGCAGGATATGAAGTCGAAGAAATTTGAACCGACCGGCGACAACAAGTTGCCGAATATAAAGGAACATGAGAAGGAAGCTCTTCTCGCACCAGCTACTAGCTGAGCAAAATAAATTTTTGATGCTTACAAGCCATTTTAGGGTTGTGCGTACGTCATTCTTTAGTCTCATCAATCACATTAAAACGTCACAGCATTGCTTTCCGCGCTAACTCACGGTGAAGCGCGTTTTTTACTGAAAAGAAGGCATTCTCGGATCAAATACTCACAGGCACAACATAATTGCCAGCAATCTGTTTAGAGTATCAAAAACCAGCCACATCGTTTCTGTTTAAAAGGTGAAGAATGGGTGAGTGTTGATTAAATGACACTTCCCTTCTTTAATCTGTATTTTGCATTTTTTAAATCTTTTGCTCGGAGTTAAAGAATTAGTTTTCGCTCGATAATCATGCCTTTTGAATTTGTTACACAGAACGGCTGAGAGCGCTTCTGAAAATATGAGTTGAACAACAATCTTGGCTATTTGTTTGGCGTAAAAATGTTTAATAAAAATTTTTGATTCCTTATGAAATGTCAAATGATTTATTTTCAAACTGATTAACACGTTGAATGCCATGGGGTCTCACCCGTGACCGGCACTCGATTTGGCCGTGGGGCAACCGGTGACCACCAGCACTAAAAATGCTTCAAGCATGATGAACAATTCACGTTTGTAGCAAGTCAAATTACAACACAATACGCATCGCATGATGAACAATTCACGTTTGCGCCCTGGGCAAACCATGGAAGATTCCCTGGCGTCAATGTGCTAAACAAGCTTTCAAAAATATAATTGTTTTACATTGCACATCGGTAGAACGTGTGAATCCTGCACGATCTATGATGGTAATCGTGTTTGCTTGAGCATACTCTCACACCTGTTCGCAGAGAAAAGACATGTTAGGCAGCTTTTACACCAAAATAACGAGAAGCATTTACCGCTCAGTTCAATAAAACAGCTCATATCCTAACATTGTCGTAAAACCACTGCCTAGTCTGTGCTGCTATTTCGCACATAAAGCAGCTCTCACCGCAAAAACCGTACCAACACGGACAGGTGTGATTATCGACCGAGAACAAAGGAGCGTGGAATTGATGCTGACACGGTCAATGCGCTCAAAGTGATCGGCTATCCGTTGCACAAACATTCTCGCCAGGATAAAAAAGGTATTGGCAACCAAGGTGGCAGTAAACCAACGCTTTGCTGCGCAAATAACTTACTATGAGGCATTTAGCATTGGAAACAAGGCCACACGGTGCCCCAGTCCTGTACGATTATTGCTGTTTGCAATGATAACCGGTCGTACGACCGATCAGCAGCGTGTACTACGTGCAGAATTAGCGTGATGAAACAAAAACAACGATCAACAGCAACAAACACGGCCGTGCATCGTAATGAAATGAAATACGAGGATGATTGAGGACTGGTGACACCGTGTACATCACCTGATGTGCATCAGGCCACATGAGCAATTTTTCATGAAGGGTTCGCTCACTTGGCACACCGGACACGGGAAGAGAGATGCGCTCATCGTTCGACACGAAGAACAACCGGTGCAATTTGGAGGAGAACGGTCAAAAGGGAATGGACGAGCGCTGCAAACACGCCCAGGTGTCGTAAATGCCCATCACATTCGCAGGAGCGAAGGGTAAGACTCAACAATAAAGAAATTTGCAGGTCTCGGCTAGAATCAGCTGTGTACCGGTACGGAGCGTGGGATGAACGGGACCGCAATCCGCATCTCGGTTACTAAACGCAGTTTAATTAGGCTTCAACTACCATCCTCACCTCGAGGCAGTGACCGCAGTACTCCTTTCCTTTAGACATGCCTAAAAAGTATCCTGCACCGCACCGAGTGCATTCCTTCTTGAGCACACTAACATTTCCGTTCTTATCGACACTAAACTGCGTGAGCACCACATCCTTCGTATCGATCCTCTTCGGCTTCTCCTTCTTAGGCGTGGTGTAAACTTTCTTCTTCTTCTTCTTGCCACCCCGCAGCCTGAGCACCAAGTGCAGCGTGCTCTCCTTCTGTATATTATAGTCGCTCAGCGTCCGTCCATCCTCAAGCTGCTTGCCCGCAAATATGAGTCGTTGCTGATCGGGTGGTATCCCCTCCTTGTCCTGTATCTTCGCCTTTACATTCTCGATGGTGTCGGACGACTCCACCTCAAGTGTTATTGTCTTGCCTGTGAGTGTTTTTACGAATATCTGCATCGCTCTTTGTTTTGGTGGGGATAAAATTTTTTATTTTTTAAATTTTTGTTTTGGTTTGTGATGATTGGGGCACAGCAAACAAAACAAATGGATGCGGGAATAGAAATGATGCACGAATGGAAGTGCTGCGAACCATGAAGTGTGATTGATGCGCACGTGTGCAGGGGCTGATGCAGCTGTGCAGTGTGCTGAAAGCGCTAAATTAGGGCACGCAAAAGTATAAATTGCTTGGCGAGCGCTCAAACATTGGGTAAGGCGGAACGTGCGATGCGGTGATTGCCAATTGAATCTGAAACTGTTTCATGGAACTGCACGGTCACCGTAACGATGCGCCAGTAAATTTACAACGAGCGTGCCGTGCAGGAAGAACTAACTGCTGTTTTCTACTGCAATCGGAAACGTTTTAAAATTTGAATTTGGTTGAGTAAGAGGAATTGATCGTAAACGCTTTCTTCTTGCTTGACCGGTGTTAGCACGCTTTGTTCTACCGGTTAGGACTGCCATGGCAACGCTCCTGCTCAAATGTTACGTTCTCCTTTCAGATGGCATGGTGTACGAACGCCGGCAATCTGCCCAGACCATGTTACGCACATCCAGTGATGGTGAGATCACCGTATTATCTACGGACAGCTCGCTCTCCTCATCACCAGACTTAATGCTTTTCATTTTTGAACGCTCCTTCTCTGCTTCTTCATCGGTGTGGTGATCTAATCTTGGACATTTCCACGAGTTCTTGTGCAAGAGAGGGTTTGACACAAGGTGTTCTCATGTACAGCGCAACATATCTTCTTCCTTTAGCTGCTGTGCTCCACTAAAACACCATTTCCATAAAATTCCTCTGCACATAAAAAGACATTGTTATTGGTTCAATGTTAATTCCTGATGTCCATTGAAACTCACATTCGCAGTAACACGGCTGCGAACGAAGCATGGTATCACGGCTGAAAATATCACCGCTCACATATAAGCACGACTTTAACAACAAAGTAAACTCGTTTTGGTGCAATAACTAGCTTTGATTCCGTTTAGAAGTGATAACAGCACTGCATGTTAGTTAAAGAGAAACGGTCGGGTAACCCTCTAACCCTTTTTCTCTGCGCGCTGAAAAGCATTTTAAGATGTTTCAAATGCCGCCCACATTTCTTCATTCGTACATAAACGAACACTTGTGGCACAGAAAGCCGATGAGGTTATTACCCAAAGGTAAAATAAGATGTAACAATCAATTTGTGGTACACTGTTTTTAGAACATTGTTTTCGCTTTTGATGGAAGGGGGTGCCGTGAATTAGTGGGTCTGTTCCTCAGTTCCTACCAGGATGCTAAAAAATAAGTGCAGGCTTGCACCGAAAAACCATCGTGATCGTAACAGCTATGTACAAAATGTTTGGCCCTGCAAACAATGACTCGTTCAACACATCACTCTGCAATACCTTGTTCCATTACAAGTAGTTTATTCACGTTTGGCAACACGGTGTGACTTTCTCTTGGCCTTCTGCACAGCAAAGCGTAAATACAATAAAAATTGGCGAGACTTGAAAACCAGATTACTAGCAAATAATGCACTGGACCGCAGTGACCGGGAGATGTGCTATGTTCTACGCCAGACCAACAAAAGAACGGATTTGTAGCGAAACGGTGATTTGTCCCCATTGCGACCACGAAATAAACACGATGAGATTCGTGAGGATAAGAAATGGTAAATTTGATGCGAATGGTAAACACGGCCCGTAAGAGCGTGTAGCGGCAACAAAGACATAAAACAAACTTGGAGAACGAAGAGCGTAGCGAACGGCGGTGAAAGCCGCCCAGAAGAACTGCTGCACGCCTTAACAAGTTCAAATATGTGGTGAATGGTATTAAAGGCTGCATTTATGTTGATCTGCACGTTTTCTTAGCACCGGCCCGGTTCAAAAACTACCACGCCCACTCGATCAAGCATATTTTTAGGAACCGCCCCAGGCACAGCCTTTAGCCATTGGCACCAGCGGCTTATCCACAAAATCACGTGCCGGAACTGGAGGGCAGCCCGCAAGGTCCTAAGAGAGGCAGTGCCGTACCTTTAGGACTGCTCTCAACAGATTCAAGGCCCAATATTTCTGATCCGCATCCTCATTTGATGCACATCAAAGCTAATTTGTGCTTCGGTCCTACAAAACATGAAGTGCCGTGTAATTTACATCGCATCCACCCCATTCACACGATTTAGCAGAGAAGCCCGGTATTACCCTACCGTTCATTTCTTCGCATTATGATCGGTGTGTACTTCTCCACTGAGCCTACGTTAATCAACCCCTCGTCTTACACGAATGGACCTGCACACCAGAGACAGCGCACATCAGTCTCTCAGCCCGGTCATCAAGGATGTGTAGTAGCACCCGCCTGCAGGCACTCCTGCCAAACGGTGTCTCATACCACTGCACCGGTACGTGGCAGGAAATGGCAATGACCTGTCACTTAAGTAAGCGGTTGCATTCGCTGAGAACGGCACGTAAAAAGTGCTTGTATTGCTCGATCACCACATTCCTGATCAACAGCCACGGCTAACAAAACCTATCACAGCACCGGTATATGACACAGTCAACAATTTTAATTGAGAAGGTTCCATGGTGGGAGGAGACACAGCGGTTGGGAACGTGCACTTGAGGTGCGAACAGCTCTATGACCGCCCAGAACACGGCATCAGCCGTTCTGCCAGCGGTTCAAGCACATACCAACCCTCATCTGCCAACAAACATTCCCTCTCACCGCCCAGAACACGGCATCAGCCGTTCTGCCAGCGGTTCAAGCACATACCAACCCTCATCTGCCAACAAACATTCCCTCTCACCGCCCCTTCCCACTAAACATTAATTTCTTCCCTTTCAACCACTCTCATCCCATTCTCGTCAATCAAATACGTCACCATTTTACTGAAGTCATTCTGTGCGGCATCCCTAACCGCACTCACGCTGTTCCACACACAATCATCCTTCAGATTACCCTCCAGAAAGTGCACTGCCTTGTCCGCCTTCTGTCCAATAGCGCAGGCCTTGTACTCCGAGTAGTTGCCATCCGGCCCAACAACAAACGCACGCGCACACTCCTCCACCCCGAACAGTATAACACGCACACCAAACGGTCGGACACCCCGCGTGATCGTGTACCGCTGCATATACATCGCAAGCTCACCTGCCAACTGCCGCAGGCTTATGTCCACCATGTACGTGTACCGGTACTGTCTTGCAAGGTACCGCGCCTCGGATATAATTCGGAGCGCATCGGGCCGCAGGCCCGAGAATGCGAGCCAAATGTTCTGATCGGCATCGATGAGGTGCAGTTTTATGGATGGCTCGATGCGCATGCGGTCGAGCAGCCGTTGGTCGAACGTAACTGATATGCGCTTGCTCACGCATGAAAAGGCGATAAGATTGCCCTGGTCCGATGCTTTTTGGGCATTTTCCACCTGTATAAGACGGCCGTCGGGCGAGAACACTGCGAGTGCATCGTCGTACATTATTTTTCTGGGGGTGCGAACATTTTCGCTGCTAAAAACACGCGATCTGTTAATTCGGTGATCCCTGCACAGGTGCTGTGGATGAGCTACGACCTGCTCGCCGGTACATTCCTGTGTGAGGCGATGAAAAACTACTCTTAGCGAATGAATGTAGCACTCATCGCACGCACTTACCGGTACGTGATGGTTTAACGAGTGCGTGGTATGTACGTGCAGATCATTGTCTGCTTGCAAAATAACACTCCATGCATGCAACCGCACCTCCTTCTCATATTCTTGCCGTATTTTCCTGCGCTTGGCCATGGCCCTTATTCGTACCATACTTACCTCATACCCGTGTTTGGTTGTTCTACATCGTGTAGGTGCTGCATAAATCTCCTCATTCACAGCGGTTTTCATTCCACGATACAACATTTGACCAGCAGCACGGATGAAAAGATTTGATTTCCGTTCAAAGCTTAGTTTTTTATTCATTGGAAAGTGCACAACTGATGAGTGGCTGCAAACAGGTTAGGATGATGGCGAGAAATAAATGCACTCTTGATGAAAAAAATGGGATAATAACATAGAACGAAGGGTACCAGCACATTCACAAATACAAACAGCTTAACTGGTAAACTGCTAAAAATACGAAGGTACTTCATTTTACTTTCTATAGCATTCATTGGGAACGATAATGAATGCTATTTCTGCCCTGTCCCGTAGGCAAACCGGCATACACCACATTTTGTACAAAGCAACCACCAATTTCTCACCCATCCTCACCACAGCTCCAAATACTTTCTAAATTTCTGTC